GTGGGGGGTGGTGTGGGGGGGGGGGTGCGCGAGGGACGCAGGAAGTGGGGAAAGGGGGGACAGAGGGGTGCGGGGTCTCGTGGCATGGGGGGGCCGCGGGGCGGGGGGAGTGGGTCGACAACCCTACGGCTGAGCTGCGCGAGTGGCACTGACTGGAACACACGTTCCGATGGGTACGCCCGAGCCTCCGCGCCTGGCGGAGCAATGTCGGGTGCATGGTCATTCTCCCAAGTCCTGCCCCCCATGCAGATCCGCATCTACAACCTGGCCAAGCAAGCCATGGTGAAGAAGCTGTTCACGGGGGCGGGCGTGATCACCAGCATCGCGCTGCACTCCACAGGTTGGTGGGATGGGTGGGGATGAAGGGGATGGCATGTACATGCGTGAGTGTCTTCACCTGGCACGGGCTTGATGCCTGAGCGTGCTGTGATGGTTGGGGCAGGGTGCATCGTGCGATGAGTGACGTCGGCTTGGCCGGTGCGTGCTGCACTCCTCTGGCCGCTGGCGGTCCGCCTGCTCCACGCCAAGGTCGCCCACCTGCCCCGCCCCCAACCCCAGGCGACCACCTGATCGTGGGCTCGGAGGACAACCGACTGGCCTGGTACGATCTGGACCTCTCCACGCGGCCGTACAGGGCGCTGCGATTCCACAGCAAGGCGTTGCGGGGCGTCGCCTTCCACAGGTGGGCGTGCAGGGGCCTCGGTTTCGCGGCGGGCCTCGGGGTTCAGGGGCCGCCGCGGGTTTTCCGCACAGGCATGGCCAGGGCCTGACCCACTGCCGTGCCATCCCAGGCCCCCCCTCCTCATGATCCCTTCCCCGCAGATCATACCCGCTCTTCGCCTCGGCATCCGACGACGGGCTGGTCCAGGTGTTCCACGGAATGGTGTACGCGGACCTGATGACCAACCCCCTCATCGTCCCCGTCAAGATCCTGCATGGCGGCGTGCCGCAGCTGGCCGTGGCCTTCCACCCCACCCAGCCCTGGGTCTTTGCAGGGGGGCAGGATGGCGTCATCACGCTGTATGTCAATGTATAATGCCAAACCCGTGAAAGCGCCCGTAAGCACAGTGCCTGCGACACATCTTTGCCAGGAGGGGGTGGAACGCTGCGCCTGGACGGCAGGGACACCGCCACGAAATGCTGCCCAGCTCTGCAGATTGCTGTCATGCCTTTGACACGGCGCGAACATTTCATTCGTTCTAAACATTTATACTTTCTTATTTACTTGTACGACAGAAGGGATCAGACTCTCCTAGCCATTGGTCTCTTGATGAGCGCATGTTCCGGCGAGAGTGCTTCCGTGAGCTCGTCAGCAGGAAACAGTGCTGACAGCCCACGTCCAAGCGACAGCGCCGAACAAACCGAGTGTGGCGATACAGGAGCTAAGGAGGAAACAGAACATCAGAGCCCCGAGAGACCTGAACAGGCGGAGGCCACACCCCTTCCAGGCCAGGCAGAGGGCGTCCCAGTGGAAGCCTCTTGGCAATGCGCATTTGACAGGAACTCCCAGAGACACTACTGGTATTGTCAGGAGACGGGAGTGTCTGTCTGGCACGCACCCCCAGGATGGGAAGGGCAGCCCTGCAGGGAGGCAGGCGGGGCGCAGCAGCCCGAATCAGGTGTGGGTTACAACCCCTCCCCAGACGGATACTTCTACGTGGATGCGGAGGGGACGACACAGGGCCCCTTTGATAGGGAGCAGCTGCGGGCGTGGCGCGGGCATCTGCCCATGGACCTCCCCATGTGGCGCCCTGGTGATGAGGCGCAGCAGTACCTTGCTACCGTGCTGGGCGACGATGGCCTGCTGAGGCAGTGGCACGACGCCAACCCTGAGGAAGCAGAGCGGGTGTGTCTGCTGTGGGTGCGATGGATGCAGGGGTGGGGGGCTGCGTGGCCGTCTTGGCTGGATCATCTGGTGGGACAGGCTCGTCGACAGACGCACCAGACTGTACATGTTTGCGGCCCTCATTGTTGTTCACCTGCCACGCTTGTTTGCCAAGGAGTGCACCGTCGGCAGCCAACATCAGCGCTAGTCTCAGCGATTGTGACCCCGCTCTGCCCCTCCCATGCCCAGGGCCCAAGCCGAGCCCCTCCAGCTGCGATCTACGAGGCGGAGGAGAGAGGGGGCAGTGCAGCGGGCTACGCAGCTGCTGCCCTGGCAGGGCTTCCTCCCGACGACGATGCCGTGCGGGTGAGGCGCGGCCGCGGGGGGTGGGTGGGGAGATTGTGAGGCTTGCATGGCACTCACGCTGCGCGGTGGTGGAGCCTTGGCAGGTGTTTACGCCCAGCACGCCATTTCCCCTGAGCCTGCCAGGTTGCGAGACTGGCGGCGGGCGTCGGCAAGTCCATCCAGGAGGTGGTTGCCTGGAACCATGGGAGCGGCGAGTACACCACCACTGCCCTGCACAGCCGGGGCAGGGGCCGGGTGTCGGCCCCAGGCCAGGTGCGTTGGGGACTTGGAATGCTGACCCGATGGGACATTTGTCGATTGAGAGCGAGGACATCACCCGGGAGCACAATGTGCGTATAGTGCACTGAGCGGCGCTGGGGAGAGGCTTTTCACCTGGTACCCATTCATTTTCGCTCGATCCTTGCCCACACGCCAGTTCCCTGGCCCATGTCTGTGAGCAGGAGTCGCTGTATGGGGAGCTGGGCTCCTGGGGCGACCCAGAGAGCATGCCCGCACAACTGGCTGCCGCCGCCGCGGCGCGAAAGCGGCGGCCCACGCCTGCACAACTGGCCGAGTTGCGGCGCTCCAAGCAGGAGGCCAAGCGCGCGAAGCAGACGGCATGGCTGTTTGCTTGAGTGCCGGGCGCGCTGTGTTACAGCAGGGTCGTGGAGGGATGGGCAGGCGGTGGCGAGCTGTGTGCGATACCCAAGGGCACGGAAAGGGCTTGTATCGAGTGGTCAGTGGCAACTTGCGCAGCGGTGGGGCCTGGGACGGTGTTCTGGAATGATGTGGGGGTCACGTGGTGGGGTGATGTAGGCGCAAGCGTGGCGAGGAGAGATCAGCCGGCGCAGGGCGACATGAATGGGTACGCTGGGAGGGGTCCCGCCGGCTTGGGCGGGGAGCAGTGTCGGGGTTGGGGAGTCGAGAACCCATCCCCGCGGGTCAGTCAGTGGAGGAGCTCGGCGGCCAAGTCCATGGATCCCAGGGTGGTGTCAAACGAGTTCTCATCTGTGCGTGAGCAGGACAGGGAATCATGATGATCGATGTGGCTGGAGACGAGGATACACTGCTGATGCAGCGGTGGACTGTAGATAGAGCGGTGAAGGGCCGCCCTCGCCGATCCTTCTCGGGATCCCCCGCCCTGCCCCCCCTGCCCTCCCCCTCTCAAATATAAGGCCCCCTCCGCCCCTCCTTGCCTGCGTGCTGGGGCTTGCCGCGCACAACCTGCTGCGCATCCCTGACGATGGACCGAATGTCTTCGTACACCGAGTCGGGCGTGGCGTTGGCCAGGCTGTCGGCCACCAGGGTGTCGTTGAAGGAGAGGGCGGCGGGGTTGAGGTCCACGCGGTACCAGGGGTGTGCCTGGATGGCCGGAATGTCCGGGCGTGCGTTGGGGTCTGGGGGGCGGGGAAGGGGAGGGTGTGACGATGCAGGGGCGAGAGTGTGAGGCTGGATGGGCAGCCGCGGGCGGGTCGGCGGATCGATCTCTGGTCCGGAAAAGGGAGGGTGCCGCGGCACGGACGGCACAGGGGGCATGCTAGGATTGGGTTTCCTTGGAGCAGAAACGGCCAACAACGCCCAGCACTGAGGTGTGGGCGCCAAGACATGTGTTCTCACAGCCCCAATAACCTTGCACACCCCACAGCACCCTCCAGAAGGCACACGGTGACGCTCCATCATCCAGCTCACCGAGCACGAGGAGGGAGGAGATGAGGTCCTTGCACTCCGGCGACAGGCGCTTGCGCTCCGGGAAGATGTAGTCCACTGCCAGGATGCGGTTCAGGATGGCGTTCAGCTTCTGGGGCCCCTTCATGGTGGAGTCCTTGACGCGCTGGAAGGGGTAGGTCCCCGTCACCAGGATGTAGAGGAGCACGCCACAGGACCAGAGGTCCGCCTTCTTGCCGTCGTAGTGCGTGCCGGGCTTGCTCACGATCACCTCCGGCGCCAGGTAGGCGGGGGTGCCCACGCGGCTGGTGGGCGCAGACTGCTGATCGTCCTTGCTGAACCTGTGGAGGTGGTGTGGGTGGGGCCAGGGTTGGGCTGGGCACCCTGGACCACCCGAAGCGTCCCAGTCTGGGCGTTGTCGCCCTCTGCGACCTCGCTCCACTTTATCGAAGGCTACAATGAACCAATCACGAGCATCGCCGCACCCACTCCGGCCCATGCATGCGCCAACAGCCAGGCCCCTCACCCAAAGTCGGCCAGCTTGATGAGCGGGCGGGGGCTGCCGTCCAGCAGCGTGTTCTCCAGCTTGATGTCACGGCTGGCGACGCCCTGCAAGGAGGGAATGCAGAGGGGCTTGTGTGATGACATGGAGGCATGAGTAGGGGGTTTGGGACGTCCATGCCCCCGTCCGCCAGCCCGTGCAGCCTGCATGGCCAGCACCCTTGTGGCTTAGCCATGAGATGCTGGGCCCTCGGATCTGAGGCTGCTCTCCAGCCCCTTTGACCTTCCCACACACTGTCCCGCTCAACACACCATGCGGTGGCAGTAGTCGATGCCGACGATGAGCTGCTGGAAGAACCAGCGGGCCTCAGGCTCGCCCAGGGACTTGCGGCTGGAGACGTACTTGAACAGGTCCCCGCCGGCAGCAAACTCCATGGCCAGCACCAGGTGATTGGCCGTTAGGAAGACCTGCGGTCGGCAGGGCAAAGGGGGGGAAGGTTTCACTGGACTTGGGGCTTAGAGCTGCCCTGGGCCCTCGCAATAACTGCTCCTCTGCAGAGGCTCTTCGCCCCTCGTCCAGAAAGCGATGCTCAGCACACATACATAGGTCCCCTAACTGGCAATGGCCACGGCAAACCCACCTCGCGCAGCCCGATGATGTGGGGGTGGCGTAGCTTCATGTGGTTCAGGATCTCTCGCTCCACGTACTTGTTCACGTTCTGCCGGGATTCAGTAGAGATTGAATGGATATCAGAGACTCAGACCATGGCTAGGTGGCGCTGCCGGCGAGGTAGCAGGCAGCAGCTGGCCTCTAGGAGGCAGCATGAAGCTGGCCCCTGCCCCGTTCCATTGGCAGCTGTCTCCCCCATTGCTCCTCCGCCAACTGCTCCAACCTCGCACCTGCGGTCCCCGCTCGATAAATTTGAGCGCTACGTCCTCCATCGTTTCCGTGTCCCGGGCGTGCACCACCGCGCCGTAGGCGCCTTTGCCCAGGTCTCGTATCTGCGGGTGTGTGGGGGGATGTGGGCGACCGGAACCCTTGTGGACAGTCCCGAACCCCACTCATCATGCGCTGGGTAACATTCAGCACCTTGGAGTAGCGAGGGTGGCCCTCCAGCAGGCTGTCAGTGCCGCCGGGGGGTCCCGACGCCATAGTGCCGAAAACAACAGTACAGGCAGTGGTGCAGACGGGATCGTCAGGCAACTCTGGATCGTAGCACGTTCTGTACACCAATTGGCTGTGAATCAGGTGCGTTTGTGGTGTTCAGAGTGCGAGCGCGAGTGCCTGGGCCGGGCGGGGCAGCGGTTGGGGGGGTTTAGTTTATGTGCACGTGCGGCATTATCATCGCCGCGCCCCGATTCATGTCATCATCAGGGCCCTGGAATGCTGGGGTATATTCCCGCGGCGTGTGCGGGATGAACTAGGTGTACAAATGTGTTCAAGTTCCAACGGACAAAGGCGGGGAATACAAGCAGATGGGGGCAGCCTGGGCGCGTGCACTCACGCCGCCTCCCTCCAGCGCAGTCAGGGTCTGGTCGGGGCGGCTGCGGTGGGGCCCGCCCTCCCACCTCCCGGGGACCAGCGTCCAGGCGGGGCGCTCAGGTCCCCCCCCACTCGTCGAACGACGACTCGTAGTTCTCCGCATCCATGGTGTCGTCGATGTAGTCGTCCTCCCAGCCGGCGATGCCGCCGCCGCGCCCCGGCGCCTTCTGAGCCTCCGCGACTGTCTCCCGGATCTCTTCCTCCGTCTGGGACCCCGCGGGCGGCATCCGCATGTTGTCGTTCATCTCCTTGACCCCGGGCGGCAGGTCCTTCATGTACCAGGGGTGGTCTTGGAGCTCCTGGATGGAGATCCGCTTCTGTGGGTCTGCGCGAGCGGAGAGCAGAGATACGGGGTGGGTTGGGGAGGGTTTGAACGAAGGGTCCACTGGGAATGGTGGGCGCTGCAGCAGACCGAGAGCATGACGCACCTGCCACGAGGATGCGGGCCATGATGTCCCGACACTCCGGCGACAGCTTGATGTGCGGCGGCCAATCGTACTCCACCCGCAGGATGCGCTGGATCATCTTCTGCAGCTTCTGCGCGTCGTGCTTGTCCTCGGGCCGCTCAAAGGGGTAGGCGCCCACCAGCATGACATACAGCATGACGCCACAGGACCAGATGTCGGCAACCTGGGTGGAAAGGAGGGGGGCCAGGGTGTGGAGGCCGGTGCTCAGCACCTTCCATGGATGTTTGCCATGACGTGAGAGCTCAGCACAGTGCAGCGCTGCACCCAGGCCCCAGGTGTGAACAATAATTCATGCATGATGCACGCCTCCGACTTGCCACTCGACAGGTACGTGACCCTGATACAGCACACACAGCGTCTGCAGGTGAACGGCCAAAGACCATCCCATCTCCCCTTCTTCCACCCTCCTCACCCAAACCTTGCGCACACACACCACCAACATACCTTGCCATCGTAGGTTTTCCCCTTGGTGGTCATGATCACCTCGGGGGCGAGGTAGGCCGGGGTCCCCACTCTGCTGCCCGGCGCCGACTGGTACTTCTCGTGCTTGGAGTAGCCAAAGTCGCAGATCTGGGGGCCCGGAGAGTAAGCGATTGGGGACTGCTCGGCAGTGCGGCCCAGCACGACAGGGTTTTGAGCATGACAGGTCCTGGCGCTGGTGGCACAAAGGCTCCCAGCATTCAGGATCCCACCGTCGTCCCACATCACGTACCGCCCTCATACCTTGATGAGCGGCCGCGGGCTGCCGTCCAGCAGCGTGTTTTCAAGCTTGATGTCGCGGTTCGCCACGCCCTGCAAAGAAAGCGCGTGTGTGTCGTGAATCGCTGGCTGCCCGATACCCGCTATGATGAGGAGGGCTCGCCTCGTCCGCTTCCACAGCCTGCCAGGTCAGGATTCCTGGGAAGTACTGAGCCGCACGCGCAGGCAGCCCCTGAGCAGCGTAGCCCTCACCATGCGATGGATGTAGTCCACGGCGACCAGCAGCTGCTGGAAGAACCAGCGCGCCTCGTTCTCGCGCAGGCCGCCCTTGCGGACAACGTACTCAAACATGTCTCCGCCCGCAGCAAACTCCATGGCGATGCCCAGGTGGTTGGGCGTCAGAAATACCTGAAGCGGCGGGGGATGGGAGTAGGAAGGGGGGAGGGGCAGGGGGGGTTGCGCCAGGACTCAGCGAAGAGGCGCTGTGACGCCGCCTCAAGACGAGGCTGAGCCGTGACATCCGGGCCTCAGCACTCACAGGGACCCCAGGCACTCCCCGCCGTCAGGCGCCTCACCTCCTTGAACTGCACGATATGCGGGTGCACCAGCTGCCGGTGATTGATGATTTCCCGCTCCACATACTTGGTCACCTGGTGGTGAGGGCGGCGAGGGGTGGGGCTGGGAGGCAATGCCTGCCGAGGGGCATGCTTCAGGCGCCATCACACCCCGCCAGCTCCACCTCTGGAATGCCAGTCCTCCTCCCACCAGGACCAGGTCACACCCTGGGGCATCTCATCCCAGAATGGCACCTCCAAACTCCCGTCCCCCCTGCACACCTTGTCACCACGCTCGATGAACTTGATAGCCACCTGGCGCCCTGTGGTCTTGTCCAGCACCAACTGGACGAATCCGAATGTGCCGCTGTTCAGATCCTTGATCTGCAATGGTGGGCGATGGCTGGGTGTGAGGGGATCAATTGGGCGTCCGGCACTCCGCTGCCTCGGGGGGCCGAGCTTGCCCTCCGCGACCACACCTTCTGATACTTTGCGTGCCCCTCTAGAGCCTCTGGCCTCTTGGCCTGCATCCTGCACCGATGTGGTGCGATTCGCACAGGTGCGGCCTTCCCACAGCCACCGAATGTGCGTCAGGGGGCGAAGACGCTCGGTGTGGAGGGTGGGGAAGGTTTCACGGGAGCTGACTGGAACCTGCCGGTTAATCCAGTGGAGCCCCGGCAATGGACGGTTCAAGGTTACAAACGACGTTAATCGATCCTAAATCATGACAGGAACTGCGGGTTGAACCAGGCCCGACGCCAGATGGTCGAGGTGTCTCTTCTCTTCTACCAGGAAGTGGCAGGGCCAAAATTGGAAAGGATGTCTTGTATACCCCTCCCAGGTCGGGTTTGTGCCGAGCCTGGTGGGCTGAAGATGCCGATTCACACTTCCCTATGTCCACAGTGCATCGATGTACGGCACATGAAATTTCAAGGTATGAAGCTGCAAACCGCTCCGACAGCGCACAGGGACAGGAGGAGAATCGCGTTCTGGGGTGTTTGCAGGAAGGCCGCGCCCCGGTCAAGGCGCAAATGGTGCGACCCCGGTCCCGCGAACCCTCTAGCAGTCATGGAGAGTGCGACGTTGTTCGCGCGAGCCTGCAAATTGGCAAACAACCGGACCACTCCGGTCAGAGCGATACTGGCAGTACCTCTCACCCCTAGGCCCGAGTAGTCCACGCTCCTGGTCGCCAGGCCGAGGAGCAGATGTCTTCCCTCCTCGAACACCTGCCATCAGTAGGAGGGGTGCATGGAGCGCCTCATGCTGACATGGGCGTCCAGGGGAGGGGTGCAGCAGGGCAGTGGACACATGCTGCTCTGGGAACTAGGGTTCCGCCCCATCACCCCCTGCGACATGTGTCCATTGGACCCAGAGCCCACCATTGAGATGAAGCGCAGCGCGAGCAAGAGCGTGAGCACCAGCTCGTCGGCAGGGAATCCCACCACCCTCAGCGGGCTCAGGGCAGAGCTCATCGCCGCGGCCATGCGCTCTGGGGGGGTGCAGGCCAGGCAGAGGGAGGCCGACTGCAGTGCTGCAAAGGTCAGCGCCGCAGTGCTCACCTGTGGTGGCCGAGGAGTGAAGGGGAGGGAGGAAGGAATGATCTCTTTAAACCAAAGGGACATCGAGCAGCAGGACCGCCATGGGTGTGGAGGACCGAGCCCAGGGGCCGAGTGCATCCCTGGGATCCATGCATCTGGAAAGAATGCTCGGCGAGCCGAGCCAAGCCGAGCCGAGCCTCGCCGCCCGCCCCGCGGCACTCACCGCCAGGCGGAAGCTGCGCCGCGTGACGCGCAGGAACCCCAGCTTCAGGAGCACGCTGCTGTACCTTGGTGAGCCCGGCAGGTCCTGCATGGAGGCGGGGAGGGCGGAGAGGCCCGCGCCGCCCGGCGCCGGGCCCCGCTCCAGCCCCTCCGCCGCGGCCAAGTCGGAGCCCAGCGCGGTGAGGAGGAGGAGGAGGGCGCAGAGGGTGCCCAGGCGCCGCAGCTGCGGCCCCCAGACGTGCCGCGGCAGGGACAGGGTGGTGACGAGCACGAGGTACAGGACCACAGCCGCCTTGCACCCAGACCCGCCGCGGATGAGGAGGGAGAGCAGGCCCATGCACCAGAGCTGCTTGGCCCCCGCGCCGGCGCGGTGCAGCCAGGTCTCCGGCTCGGGGAGGTAGGTGCTGTTTGTACGTGTGTTGGGGGGTGGGGGCATGGCTGGTGAGGGGGCGGCCTGCACTCGGTGTATGCATGCATGCATGTGCCTGCAGAAAGAGAGTTCCTGACGGTCCTTGTGGAATTGGCACGCCCCGCTCAGACCGGGGTGGCCTGGTGCCCACCTGTAGGGCGCTGAGGTGGCGGCCAGCAGGGATGACATGAGCGAGATGTTGCCGTCCGACTTCCCCCGCACCAGTCTCCAAACTGCGAGGGGGGTGGAGCAGGGAAGCAAGGCTGCAGTGCATTTCAGGGACACCAGGGGCCAATGGCATGAATATCAGATGCAGGGCAGAGCCGCACCTGCGGAGCACACGGGAGCCCTGCCTCCAGCTCGCCGTAACCTTTGCGGCCTAGCCCATCCACGGGATGAAGTGGAGTTGGAGGCTGCCGGATGGAAGCTGGGCGTCCATAATGGCCGGTGTACGGGTTGAGCCGATCCGACACCCGCTCCCATGCCACTCATGCGCTACATGTGGACATTCTTAGCCGGTGAAATACTCCGAATCCTCGTTCCACCTCCTGTCGTTGCTCTGTGCGCGCGAAATCGCTCCTCAGACCGTGAGAGCTGGTCCGCTCGATGAACGCGCCGCATGCTGCTGCGCATCAGGGGAATATCTTCAGATCTCGAGCCCGCATGATTTTGCATGCAGGCACCTACTTTCCCGATTTACTGGTCCGCGATGTGTTAACACATTGCGTTTGATCCCTCCCGCGCCCCATTATCAAGATCTACGTATTGCATGTGCACCTGAAGCAATGTCGACGGCTGTCAGCATGCACTCCGTTGCCTCTGCGAGGGTGTCGCCATGCAGGTCGTGCCTCCGTGCCAGGCCTGCAGTGGGACGAGCACTGACCCTGCCCAGCCCACGCATGTACCCGTCCCGATCACAACCCCATCGTGTCTCGCCGCGCCGGGTGCAGCAGGAGAGGGTCGAGCAGACATCCAGCAATGACACGTCTCCTCATCCCGATACCCTGGTCGACACCCTCTTGCAGGACATCCAGAGCACAGGTCGGGGGGTAACAATGGTTTGCCTGGCTGTTATCGGGGTTTTTTATCGACTCAGGAAGGGGCCCCGTGGTCACAAGGGGTTTGGTCTGGTACACTTCAGGAGGGAGGTTCTGAAATCTTCATGGAGCAAGCCCCCTGTCCCTCCTCCACCCTTCGCTCCACAGACGCCGGGGACAGCGTGTCCCCGCCCCAGCGCGCCCGCATCGACGACACCATCCGCCACCTGGCTCGCATCGGGGACGGCCAGGACCCCCGCCCCCTGCGGAACCCCGACCTGTTTGGAAACTTTGCGGTGGCGTATGTGTCCCCCGGCACGGCCCAGCCCGGTGCGGCGGCCGGGGGCAGGTTCAGGTCGACCCTGGGGAAGGCCCTCTTCCCCACACGGGGCCTCTTCCAGAGCGTGCTCTCCCCCGACATCGTGGTCAACAAGGTGGGGCGGGTTTGGGGTAGGATGGCGGTGGTTGTGCCTGGGCTTGTCTAGTCAGCCATCTTGCCCAGGTGCAGAGGGCCAGGCTCGCCATCTGGCCCCCATTGCAGGTGTGCTTTGCGCTGCTGGGCCTCATCCCCGGATCCGTGGTGCTGCGCGGCAAGCTCCAGCCCATCCCCAACTTTGCCACCGGCAGCGAGGAGACCCTGGACACCGTCAAGGTGCCAGGGGGGGGGGGTTGGGACGGTGGCAGGGTGCTCCTGCCGCACGGAATGGTGCCGTGGACGCGTCCTTCTGTAGGATCTCCCTCTACCCCCTGGCGACTGAGGCCTCCAGACCTCTGCCCCTACCCCTTCACCCCCTTGCATCCCCCCCCTCCCTCCCAATCTCCGCCCCTCAGGTCTCCTTTGAGCCCCCTGTCCTGTCCCTGGGTGAGGCCATCCACATCCGCGTCGGCCCGCCCAGCACCGTCTCCCTGCAGACAGTGTATGTGGACCGCCGCGTCCGGCTGGGCCTGGGCTCCCGCGGCTCGCTCTTCGTGTTCACGCGCGGCGGCGCCGCCGACGCGCAGGCCATGGAGGCCGCGGGCCTGCACCGCACCGGCAAGCTCAGCACGGCCCTGCTCTTTGCGGCGCTGCTGACCGCGGTGGGCGGCGGGGCCGCCCTCGCCGCCCGAGCCACGACGCCGGTCTGGGCGCGGGCGGCCGGTGGGGCGCTGGCCCTGCTGGCCGCCGCGCTGGCCTCCGTGGTGTGGCGCGGCGGCATCCTGGAGGACGCGACGTGGGAGAACGGGCGCCGCGTGGAGGCGGCTTGATGGCGCGTGTGTGCGTGCGCAGAGGGGACTCCTGGAGGGTCCAGCCGCAGGAACTGCTGTGTGGTGGGCATCCATGGCGGCAGGGACTGATACATGTGTGACTCACCTGGCCCTCCCCTCTCAGACCAAGACCTGTTGCATGTTACCATGGGGAGCAAGGGTGGCATGGATCACGGGTGAGCGGGGCGGCATGGTCTCACACACGATAGAGTACAGGGCCCGGTGGACTCGTGGCGTTTGGGACAGGGACCCTTGTATTCCTCGGTTGACCTGTCGCCGCCACGCTCTGCCCCGGCAGCGGTGCCCCCTCTCAGCACACGCCGGCCAGCACCCCCACCGGCCCTCGGCCCACCGGCCCCGCCGGCGGCCGCCGCCGCCCACGTCCGCGAGGCCCTTGGCCTGCGCCGCCAGCTCCAGCATGCAGTCCTGGAGCGCGGCGCGGCGGCGCACGCGCTGCGCCTCGCTGTCCTCGCTGGGCCGCGCCAGCAACGCCGCGCCGCCCGCCAGCACCACCTGCATCTGCGCCAGGAGCAGCGGCAGCCGCGCCTGCAGCGCGGCGCGGGAGGGCGAGGCCGGGGCCGGGGCCGGCGGCGCCGGCGCAACGCGCGCGGACCTCGCGCGCCGTGGCGTCGACGCGCCGAGCGCTGCCGGGTCATGACCGCGGGCCGCCGCCGGCGGGCCCGCGCGGGCCGCTGGGCCCGCCCCCGCCTGCACGGCGCCCAGGAGGGCGTCCAGCGCGGCGCGGTAGCGCTGCATGTGGCGCTGCACACATTCCAGCTCCAGGACCTGGGCGACGGACGGGCGCGCGGTGGGTGAGCGACGCAGCAACGCTGCCGTCAGGGCCACCAGGTCGGGGGAGTACCGGCTTGGCAGGGGCGCGGGCTGGGCGCGCAGGATCTTGACGGCAATGGCCGACACCGACTGACCCTGGAAGGGCCGGGCCAGGGTGGCCAGCTCGTACAGGACGCAGCCCGCAGCCCAGACGTCGCTCTTGGCGCCGTAGGCCGAGTCCTGAACGGCCTCGGGGGAGAGGTAGTACGGCGTGCCCACCATGGTCCGCGCCAGACCGCCGCCGCCCGCCACCTCGCGGCTCAGCCCAAAGTCGCCCAGCTTCACTATGCCGCCGCGGGAGAGGAAGATGTTGTTGGGCTTGATGTCACGGTGCAGGATGTCCTGGAGGAGAGGGGGGGGAGGAGAGGGGGGAGGGGGGAATGGTGCTCACATCTTTTGGGGGGACTTCTGGGGTTGGGTATTATGGGGCTGATGGTCTGGGAGGTAAATATTGCAGACTCGCGGCGCAAATGAGAGCATTCCAGCTGGTATTTGCATGGCATGACGATCAGATCGCCTCGCCCATCGCCCCCCACCTGGGCATGCACGTGCTGCAGGGCCAGGCACAGCTGCACAAAGATGAGCATGATGTCATCCTCGTCCAGCAGCTCCCCCTGTCGCGCCCTGATGAAGGCCTCCAGGTCTCCACCCTGGATGGAGTGGGTGCGGGAAGGGGACTCGGGGTCGTCCGACCTCATGCTCGCGCTGCATTGCAAAACCATGCGGCAAACAATACAGCAGGCCTGGGCCTGGGGTCCACTTCCCCCTACCTACCTCGCAGTATTCCATGACGATGTGCTGGGTGGGCCCGGTCCAGAAGCACTCGTGATATGCCACGATGTTGGGATGGTCCAGCCTGCGCAGCACCCGCACCTCATCCCGAGTCTGGGGGCGGGCAGGGGGCATGGATGCGGAAGCAGGAGACAAGGAGTTGCAGAATGCTCTGACCCAGAGCAGGTACTGCCAACCTAGCGTCACATCTGCACTGTCGTGGCTCTGCCTGATTGCCGGGCCGAATCGCCTCAGCGATGGCTCGGGTCACTCCATCGCCATCTTGCCCACAAGGCAATCCTCCCACCCGTTGCTGCCATCTACCATCAAGCTTTTCAACACACACACACGCACACCACTCACCGCTTGTTGCTGGCGCCAGCCCATGCTGCCGGTGTGGAGCTGCTTGATGCAGACCGCCGCGCCATCGCCGCGGCGCAGTGCCCGCCAGGCGGTGCCAAATGCGCCGGACCCCACCTCCTCCAGGAGCTCGTAGGCCGCCAAGCGGTGGGAGGTGCTTCCCCGCCCGCTCTCCGGGCTGCCCAAGATCAGCTCGGCGGCTGTGTGTGCGCTGGAGGGGCTGGGGAGCAGGCTGCGGTCCGGGCCGCCGCTCTCACCCCTGCTTGGCGGGTGGGCGGCCACGTCCTCTGCCAGCAGCTGCCAGGCAGTCAGGCTGCCCAGGGAGCGCTCGTTCCCGATTACCTCCTCGTGAGCCGACGCGAGGGGGGCGGTCTTGGGGTGGGACACCCCCCGCACTGGCAGGCCCGCTTTCTGATGGGCGGGGGCCTCCGTGAGCGGGGCAACCGCGGCAGCCTCGCTGGTGGTCCGCGATGCTCTGCTGCCGCAGCAGGCCGGTACCCACATTTAGTGAGAGTGTTATGGTATGTTTGAGCGGCCGAGGAGCCTCCCAACGCCAGGCATCTGGCATCAAGCAGTCCCGGCCACGGTGAAGGTCAACCCCGAGCCCAGGCTTCGGGCCATGCGACAAGACGCTTGCATGTCAGGGTGTTTCAAGAGAGCTTCGTAGTGGGTTTCAGGTCTCGATGTGTCGCAAGAAGTCTCGAACTCCCGATCATGGCCAGCTTTCGCTCTGAATTCGAACCGCCAGACACGCGAGTTCTCGCGCCCTCGACCGGGCACACTCGCGCACACACTCCCTCCCATGCATGGATGCGATATATATCAAGCCATGGTGCGAAAGAAGCGTAAAGTAATCGTACAATCACTGAAATTCACTGAAGCATCTGGCTGAAAATTCCCAAATCGGCGAGCTGCAGAAGACAAAGTGGTGGCCACCCTGCCGGCCCTGCTCGCGGATTGTGACATGCGGCTGACATCCTTATAGCCGTGCTCCTGCAGACAGCAGCGATATGCTGGGGGGCAGGGGACGAGGGGGTGGGCGTGGATGGCGCAGTGGAACCCCTCAAGCCCCGGGCATGGTCGACGACAGTGGCCAGCCCATAGTTCTGGGACCTCCACCCATGTTCCCGGTGAGTTTCTTTGTGTCGGTAGGAACACTTGACCAGCCCCCTTACACTGTGAAGATGGCTGGGTCTCCCATACCCCTGTGAGTCCACAGGAGATGGATTTGCCCGAGGTGCCAGAAGGTGTCTCCACCGTCACCGAGCGGTGCCTGGTGAGGCGGCACAGCTCATGCGGGCCAGTACTGGGTGTGCCAGGGCTATGCCCATTATTGTTAAGATGTTTGCAGGAGTGCAGAGTGGCTGGCGCCCTCATGCCTACCTTTGATCAGGAGCACTCCCGCATTCGGCCCGACACACCACCCTGCACATGCCCCCCTGCAGCTGCGGCGGCATGAGCTGCAGCACGCCTGGCGCAACTCCTGCTTCCACCTGACCCCCGCGGCGTTTGAGGCGGCAGGAAAGAAAGGCACTGGCCCCACGCCCATGCAGGAGCTGACCCAGATCCTCACCCTGGATCCCCGCTACTTCCCCCAGGAGCTCTTTGGAGCCAAAGATACAAAGTAGGTAACGCCTGCAACTGTGGGTCGCTCCAATCCAAGGCCTTGCCATGGAGGGCACGGCCACTGGGCTTCAGACATGCAGCAGGCCTGCTGCCCAGCATTGGTGTTGCCTCCCTCTTTGAGGGTCCCTCCTCGTCTCCGCCATACACAGGGCCAGCCGGGGCAACCAAGCCGGCATGTGGGCTGCCGCCGCCGCCCGGAGACAGAGAGGGGAGGTGGATGAGCTGGGGGCCCTGGAGGCCCTGGCGGCCGCTGAGTCGCGATCCAGAGTGGCCGGCGGGGACGTCGCCAATGGGGTCCGACCGTGAGTGGGTTGGCTGCATGCCGAGGGAGGATGGAGGGTTTGCTTGCACCCTGCACCCCTGACCTCCAGGATCCTGACTCGCAATTCCCTGCCCTCCTGCCCAAACCAACTGACGGCACCCCTCGTTCACCACCTGCCCTCGCGATGCTTTCCAGGGCCGAGGACGGCGAGGACGAGGCGGAGGCGGCCATCGACGAGGAAGACGAGGATGTCGGCGAGGAGGAGGACGATTACTATGTGGTGAGAGGGGGTGCGGTTCCATGCTTTCCTGCGGGGCTGCCATCCGACGCAGAGTGCCTGAACTCATCCCACCCTCTGCCTCCCTCCCTCAGAACGAGCGTTTTGACGATGACGATGGCTACGATGACGACTTTGATGACGGCGGCGGGGACGACGCCATCTACTGATGGCCTGGCGTGCACGGCATGGCATTCCTGCTCATCTTTCGTGATGAGCAGCGTGATCACGTGCGGTGCGCTGCACCTTGCATGACGCTCTGCTCAAGGATCCAGCCAAGACTTCAGAAGATCCTGCAGCTTGCACTGATGTTCTCCACACCCCCTTGCTGCCAATGCCATCACCTCATCCTCCCAGGGAGGTGTTGCTGGACAGTACGCTCAAACAAGGAAGACAAAGCATGCCCCAGTCCCGTCAGCCAACTCCTGCAGCAGCGCCGGCCGTGCGACCCTCATGCCAGGCCCAGCGCCCGCATGGCAAAGGCCTGCAGCAGGGCCGCCAGCTCCAGCCGCTGCGACTCGTGCGCAGCGTGCCCAGCGTGCAGGTCGGGCGCGACAAGGATGGGCGCAGGCCCCTGGTTCATGGCCCGGGCCCTGGCAGCCCATTTCAGGGGGCCCCACACCGGCACCCGGGTGTCGGTGCTCGAGGCGGTGATGAGGGTGGGAGGGAAGGCGCCCCCCCTCAGGCCCTGGTACGGGCAGGCCGTCTGCACCTGCTTGACGAATGGGGAGGGTGGTGGCGGGGAGGATGGTTTGGGGAGGGGTGGAGGAAAATGGGGTTGGTGGGTTGGGGCGAGCCGCCACCAGGCACGTCCCACCGAGACTGCGTCTGGCTGAGGACCCCTCATAGAAGCAGGCTCAGCGCACGCGCCCGACCAACAACCACCCCCCCTCGCCGCGCCTGCAGGAAGCCGGCGGTGGAGTGCGGGTCGCCCCACTCCTCGTACTCGTGCACCGTCAGCGCCAGGTCAGGCCTGCACTGCACGGTCAGCACGTCGAGGAAGGGCGCCTCCAGGACCAGGGCCCCCACCGCCCCGGGGTCGCGCTGCACCAGCCCCGCGGCGACCACGCCCCCCGCGCTGTGCGCGCTGAGAACGATGCGGTCGTAGCTGGTGTACCCTGCGTGGGAGTGCGAGGGGGGGAACGGTGGGCGCGAGCGGCGTGCAGGTGGTGGCGCGGTCCCAGAAACCAGAAGAAAGGCCGGCTGGGGTGCCGCTGTCCAGGTGTACACGCGTGTGAACCAGTGTACGACTGTCACCCAGACCCTCCCCCCCCAAGCTTGTCACACCCACTGGCTCTGAAGGACCACTCCCCCTCCGAGCCCACCTCGCTCCACCAGCGCGTCGATGCAAGCCGCCAAATCATCGACGCGGGCCTGCAAGCCGTGCACACCGCGGCCGGCCGCGTGCCAGGCCCTGCCCAGCTCCCCGCCCCCGCGCACGTGCGCGCCGGCGAGCACCCAGCCGGCCTGCAGCAGCGCCGCGCGCTCCGGCGCCCAGTCGCAGGGCAGGCAGCGCCCGTACGCGCCGTACACCTCCACCCAGGCAGGCGCGCCGCCGGCGGGGGGGAAGGGGCCGGCGTGAGAGATGGTCAGCGGCACCAGCGTGCCGTCGGATGATCGTCCATGTGTGCGCAGGGTTCCCACGGCTGCGCTGGGACTCTCCCCGCTCAGCGTGCGCAGCGCGCCGGCGTCCAGGTCCACGTCCGCCGCCACGGGCACACGCCCAGGGGAGGAAAGCGTGACGCGGAGGCTGGCCGCCTCAAAGTCCGCGTTGGCGCCGGGGTCCAGGGCGGTGGCCCAGGCGGGGAGGGGCACGGGGACGAGTTGGGGCGGGGCCCCGGTCGCCCTTTCCAGTTTGAGCAGGGCCAAGAGGGGGAGGCCGGTGGCCGCGTCACGAGCAAACACGGCCAGACATCGCCGGAAGGCGTCAAAGTCCTCCAGTACCAGCCCCTGCGTCCCCGCAGGAACCACACACTCCCAGCGCTCGGGTGGGGGAGATGGGGAGGATGATTCCGCCGGGATCCTGCATGGAACTCAGCCAGGGTGTCACAGGGATGAGCATCGGAAGGAGAGGGCAACGTGCTCGGCGCAGGAGCATCCGAGACATGGTGGAGGCCCTATCCCACGGCCACTGTGTGATGTGCAGAGAAACCCTCAGGTGAAGTCGAAGCTCAGCCGCCCAGCCATGCCGCAGGTCACTGGTCATGGCCCAGAAACCAAACCCGACTCCCACAAACGTCGCTCGGACTCACCGGAAGAGGGAGTACTGACCGTCCTCCCGCTGCGCGTTGCTCAGCATGTAGAAGTACCCGTCGGCATGCTCCACAAAGTACTCCAGCCCCGGCGAGCGTGGGTGGACCAGGCGGAGGCTCCCTGGTCCCTCCCCGGCCTCCCAGTCCAGTACTCGGACCTCGCTGCTGCGCTTGGCGTTGCTGCTCACCACCAGGTACCTCCAGTCCTTGGTCTTGCCGATGTCCAGCCAGAAGGCAGCATCCGGCTCCTCGCAGATGCACTCAGGCCTGGCGTGCTCAGGCGCTGAAACGTCCACCCTCTCCACCCTGGGCGGTGGGCAGGGAGTGTGCACCTCGCGCCGGGCTGCTCGGTTGCCTTCCCCATATGACCCTCAGAACCGCATCTGGCTGGACTTGCTCAGCGAGCACCCCCCAACCGAGAGCATGCCAACAAACACATGTGCCATTCCAACTGGAAAATGTCATAGTCAGTGCGCGGTTCTACTCTACCTGCTGGGCCGACCCAGCCCGTCTGCGCGGGTGCAGTACAGGTGGCTGCCGTCATGGCTCCACTCGATGCTGACGCTGCCCTCCAGCTGGGGCAGCCTGGTGCCGAGGCCTGCACTGCCTATCCGCTGCACATGAACCTGCAGCCGCTCGCTCCCATCCCCGGGGTCCACAGTGTATGCGATGCTGCTGCCATCCCTGGACAGCTTCATCTGCAGACGGGGATGCACAAGCACGGACCGGTGAGCGATGCTTTCTGGTCCCCTGCCGGGTTGCTTTGTCTTCTCAAGGAAATAGGATCGCCCTCTGGTGTTAGCAGGCGCCCTGTAGCGACCGCGATGCACCCCATCCCTGCGTCCTTGATCACTTTGTCCCAGCATGACCCCATCTGCCCTGCCTGGATCAAGGAGCACAGGTCCCCATACTCTGTGGCCAGGACGCCTTCATCCAGCAGAACTTCGACACTCCCACCGGCCCTTGCGCGGCGCAGGTAACGACGGTGAGGGGCCTCTGCACTCTGCTCGGTCAAGTATTCATGGCCACCCACAGCCTCCGGCTCTGTGGCCTGGACAGGGGTACAGGGGTAAACAGGTGCAGTCTTAGCACACGAGTACATGATGCACAGGGCAGCTCACAGATTCAAGCTCCATACCTGCTGGTCTGGTAGCTGCGCCAGCATGCTCTCGAGCAGGCTCGCCTGCAGGAACTCTGTCCCTTCCATGTAGTGCCGGAAAGCCGCCGCCTCATCATCCAGAACACGCTGCACCCGCTTTCCGCCCGCTTCCAGCCACCTGATAATAATGCTTATAGTATTGTAGAGCAAACATATCCCCCAATCATCATTGCACATTGCACAGAGCCTCGTTGGCATCCCCTGAGCCATGTCGGTCTCCATCACACCTGAACTCGTCTTGCCAGGTGTGTCCATGGGCACTCCTCACTGAAGGTCTGGGCCTGATCCAGGGCTGTTCGGTATGAATCCCTCGACACAGTTTACCAGAGGCTGTGCCTGACTGTGGCTGGTCAGGGGCGAGCAAAAGAGGGAGGCAAGTGAGGGTGTGGGACAGACCTCCACCCAGGCCTAGCCTGGGAAGGCGCAAAACTGCGCCAAGTCCTTGCATCACTACATGATCAGCAACCTGAAGCTAGAATAAGTATAATAATGAACAAATTCGCATATTGCGTCGATGTAGATGTCATGCAGGTGGTGGCCCCTACTTGCTTGGCGATGGGCCGATCGACCGCGGGCGCCACGACATATCAATTGTTACGAAGACGAACACTTGCAGCAAGCACCTCCTCGCTCTTATCGCACAGTGATCAGTTGCGGATAATCGGCTTATAGACAGCACGACTGAACATATCTCATTAGCCCGGGCGTCAACGCCTGTGTTTTGTTCCGGTACCTCACTCGATGTCTGAGCTCCGATAGCTGGTGGGATGCAGGCAGCGGCCGGGGTTGCTGGCCCCCCCTCCTCAGCACCTACCACGAATGGATCATCTGCAGCAGCAGATGATAGTGCACCCTCCCCTGTGACTGCTCAAGGGCCCATGCCGTCTCTCCAGGCGGTCCCGGTGAGCAGGGACCATTCTGATATAAGGAGGCACTCCCGGGTGCACCGGCCATCGGTCGCATCTCTTCACCCGCACTCCTTCCCTGTATCCTCCGCAGTCCATCACCAAGCAGCAGCAGAGCGCCCTTGCTGCGCACCAGGCCAAGCTGGTGGCGGCACGCAAGGCCCTTGGCGCCCCTCTCCGCTCCGCCAACCTCTCGCAGCGGCTCTCTACCGACCTGGGCAAGAAGGGCCTGCCCATGAAGAAGAGGCGGCCAGGGGACACCCGCCTCCCAGAGAAGGCGAGTCGTGCCTGCCCATCCTGGGGGATGGCGTTTGGCATGCTCTTGATTTGGCGCTCACTGGCTGTACAGAGTGGCCCACCGTGTCAGCCTGCCTTCACCGAAGTGTGCTTGCCCCAAATAATTTCCCTTGGGGGATTCATGAAAAGGCCCAGGGTCTCCGATGCCTGCAGGGCGGGCTTGGACATCCTCACGCCTCTCCCCACACCTTCACAGAAATGACCGCCCTTGTTCACCCCTCACCCCCACGCCACCGCCCGCCAGGTGCGCGTCCTCGTCCCCTCCAGCGTGCTGCTCTGCGACCTGCAGGCGGCGGAGCGGCGCGTGGACGCGCTGCTGGCGAGGAAGCGCGGCGAGCTGCAGGACATGCACGCCAGCTTCCGGCGAGGCGCGCCCGGCACCGCGCAGGCGGCCGGCACGCTGCGCAAGAAGCTGCGAGTGTACGTCTTCACCGAGCACGCCCACCAGGGCGCCGAACCCGGCCCCGACCCGCCCTCCTGGGCGCTGCACATCCAGGGTCGGCTGCTGAGCGACGGGGGGCCCGCCGGCGCCGGCGCGGCGGGGACGGCGGAGCCTGGCCCCGCCACCGCCTCCCAGGGCCGCCTGCCCTTCACCCACTACATCCGCAAGCTCACGGTGCGGAGTTGGTTTGTATGGCAAGGGGGGGGATGGTCTGGAAAAGGGAGCCACATCCCCCAGGCACGGGGCTGGAGGAGCTGCGGGCAGGCCCATGCTGAGTGGCGCCCGCCTCGCTCCTCCTGATTGTGCCATCTTATCTGCTCTCCTGACTCAGGAATGTCTTCCCCTCCCCCCCTCTCCCTCACTCACACCGAATGAGAGAGCCTCCCCGCCCCCCCTTCCTCTCCCTCCGCACCAGGTCCAGCTGGACCCGGAGCAGTACCCCGGGTCTAGCGGTACCATTGTCTGGGAGCGGGCGCGACACGACCTGGAGGAGCGCGAGTCGTTCATCGTGCGGCGCGCGGGTCGGCTGCCTGCCCGCGCCACGGTCAGCCTGGAGCTTGACCACAACCCGCAGCTGTACCTGCCCTCCCCCGCGCTGGCCTCCCTGCTGGGCCTCCAGGGCCTGCACTCCCTGCCCTTTGTCCTGCAGATGCTGTGGGGCTACATCAAGCAACACAACCTGTTTGAGGTGAGGATGTCCGTGAGTAGGGGGGTGTTTTCTTTTTGTGAGGGGGGCGGGGGGGATGGGTGGAGAGCGGTTGGACGGGAATGCGGGGGCAAGGAGAACCGCCTGGGCTTGCATTAACCGACCAGACAGAACACCCTGCCGGATAAGAAGGTACCAAACTCCTTCCACTCGCAAACCCACCCACCCCACTCTGCATCCTCCACCGCAGTCTTCCCCGGCCGCGCCTCTGATCCGCTGCGACGCCGCGCTGCGCGCTGTCACCGAGCAGGCCAGCCTGGGCCTGGCCGCGCTGCAGGAGGCGGTGCGCGGCCACCTGGCGCCACCGCCGCCGGCGGTGCTGGAGGTGGCGGTGCCGGCGGGCGGGCCCTCCCCCTCCCACCCCGCCTGCTATGATCTGGTCACCGAGGTGCCCATGTCGGCCGCGCTGCCCGCCTTTGCCGAGCCCGACGCCGGCGCCGCGGCCGAGCTGGAGGCGGCCGACGCCGCGCTGGCCGCCGCGGTGGCGGCCGCCGGCGAGGCCGCTCGCCGCCGCGCCTTCCTCCTCGCCTTTGCCGGCAGCCCCGTGGACGCGGTGCACCACCTGGTGGCGGCGCAGGCGCGCGACCTGCGCATCGCCGCCGGCGGTGACGCGCTGGATGTCCTGCCCCCGGCCGACGTCTTTGCCGAGCGCTGGGTGGAGGACGCAGCGCTGCGCGTCATGGCCGCGCGCGGCTCCGCGGCCGGCTAGGGCGCGAGGGTGTGTGTCTGGGGGTTTGGGGGGGGGAGGCGAGCAACCCGAGCGGTGGACGGTCGGAGCGCCTGGCGAGCGGTCACAGCCAAGGCCGCTACACGAGGCCCACACTCGAAAGCCTCTCTGCATCTGCCCGCGGCCCTGGCTCCATGCAATCCCCGTCCTCATTCCCGTGCCCTGCGTCCAGCACCTCGGCAGCAACCCTGCCCCCACCCCCCTCTCTTGCATCTTCCGCCGAGCTTGGTGCTGGTGCGTTTCAGGATGGCATGGTCACGGGGGGTCCCCAGCCTGGGTGCAGTGCAGGGCGAGTGAGATGGCAATCGGGGGCGCTGAGCCCCACGCAGGGCACGCAAGGGGGGCCAAGGGTTGGAGGTTCAGGGGGACCGCAGGCGCCCGGGGCGACGGGCTGGCTGGTCAAGGGCGCGACGGGCGCATCCCGGTGCCGAAAGCACGCGGTCGAGGCACGAGCGCGCCCCCGCCGCCACCCTCCCTCTGCGCGGGCCCCGCTCAGTGGCTGATCTCGGGGTTGAGCTGCCTCCAGGCCTCGATCCAGGCCACGATGCCGTCGGCCAGCTTTTCGAAGTAGGGGTCCAGGTGGGCCAGCCCCTTGCGCACCTGCGAGAGTGTTGATTGGGGGGATGGAGAGATCAGCTGAGTAGGATGTGCATGCGGTGGAAGTGAGCGCGCCCGCGCAGGCACACAGCAGTGCCCTGCGTCCCGCCACATCTTCATTCCGCACCCCCTGGCCAGGCCCCTCGAGCCCGCCATACGCCCAGCGCACGTCCAAACCCTCTCGTCCTCCACACCCATGCTCGGACCCATTCCCTCCCCACTCCCCCTCACCCGCTCGGCGATGTCCAGCATGGCGGCCTCCACGGTGGTCACGCTGGCGTCCAGCTTGATGGCCTGGAAGAAGGGGATGATCTCCTCCTGCCAGAAGATGCCCTTGTACTCCTTGCGCAGGTTGACAAAGGGGTTGCTGGCCTTGGAGTGCCAGATGTAGGGCAGCCCCGTCTTCACGCCCAGGCCCAGGTGGTCGGCGATGACCTTGACGCACCACCCCGCCCACATGTCGTCGTAGCGGCCCCAGGGCTGGCCCTCCCCCATCAGGCCAAAGTACATGGCGGGGCCGATGGCGTGGCGGTCAAAGGCCAGGTTCATGCCGCACATGGGGAACAGCGTGCCCTGAGGGGTGAGAGGGGAGGGGGGGACTTGGTTTGGGGGCTGCATCGCGACGAGGGCCGCAAGCACCACAGGGCGAGCGGGAAGCAAGGGAGGGCCAGCATGGCGCCCGAGCATGCATCCTACAGACAAGGGATGAAAGCAGCATGTTCAGACCCCCCTCCCCCCCCTACCCTCCATCACCAAACTCAGGCACACCTTGGGAATGGTCATGACAGCGTCCACGTATCGCGTGTTGCGCTCCTGCGGCTTCACCATCTGGGTGGGCGCGTCGTAGTCCGGGATGTTGAGCCAGAGGCCGTGCGACACCGCGGTGGGCTTGCCCTCGCGCATGGAGAATGGGTAGCCGCGCACAAAGTCGCTGCCCGCCACGTACGGGTCGTACAGGGTGTTGAAGAAGTCGGGGGTGGAGGGGGACAGCAGGTTCTTGATGTGCTGCTCCAGGGCATTGATGTCCTCGCCGCTGGGGGTCTTGGCCACGAAGCAGTCGTCGTCGATAGTGTAGATGTAGCGCTTCTTGCTCACCATGTACCCGAAGCAGCTGCGAGGATGGGCAACAGGGTGGAGGGGAGTGAGCTGGAAGAGGGGAAGTTGGGGAGGGGCAGTTGGACGCGCACCAGGCACTGCATAAGAAGCCTAGGCAGAATTCCGGCCTTGTAGTAATTCCTTTTCATGAGTATAACCCCTATTCAACCCCCCTTCTTGCAACCCATACTCCACGCAGCCGGGCAAGCAGGCAACCACCAAGTTGAAATCCTCGGGTAACAACGCACCGGCACGCGCTGTCCTTGAAGGAGATGCACCAGGCCTTGTCGCCCAGGATGCGCTCAATGTCATTGCGGTTGTACAATTCATAGTCAAAGCTGCAACATGGGGGCCGAGCAAGGTTAGGCTTGCCGACCGCATACGTCATGACACGGGTGTGCCCTGCCAGAACTCTCCTGGTCGTCGTCGTGCAACCCAGCAGCTCAACCCTACGCACCCCTCTGGGACACCGACGCTCCGAGAAGGGTCGCCGTCCTGGATGACGATGAGGTGGTAGGGCTGGAAGAAGGGACGCCTGGGCCACGGGGTGGGGGAGGGGGCGGTCAGATTGCGACATGATTTAGACCTCTCGATCACCCAGTGCACCCTGCAGAGATATGTACCCGACGTGCATCCTCATCTCACCACTGCTCGAGGAAGTCAAGGCTCCGGACTGTGAAAGGGGGTGGGAGGGGAGGGAGGAGATCATAGGCAAGCGAGAGTACCAAATGCACGCAATCACGATGCGCACTGCCAACAACGTACTGGTAGGTATGACAATGTCAAGCCTGAGGCAGGGGAGGAGAAGGGGGTAGGAGGACTTAGAGAGGGAGAGTGGGCGATGGGTGGGTAGATCCCTGGCGTGACTGGGAACATCATTACCACTACCCGCCCAAATGTGCGCTCACTGGTCATGAAGAGGAGGAGACATTGTGTTGGCAAGTCGGTGGCGACAAGTTCTGCGTTTCACAAAATGAACGGAGCTAACTTTGTGCGGGAGCGCGCTCCGGGGAGAACGGCCAGATCTGGACTGCGAGGGAAGACGGGCTGGCGACGCTGTATGATGTCTCAAATTTGTGAGGTGCTCATGAGCGTGTGATGGTGCTTTGAGTGAATGGGCCCGGACAGTGCGTCCGCAGTGGAATCCGAGGGGCATGTCCGGTGCGAGGTACCGCGGGACCTGGCATCGTGGTACTAAAGCATCCTGAGCATGCCAGCTAGCAATCTGGCATCGTCGTCTCGGGGAGGACGCGGCGTTTTGGAAAGCTCGCCGAGATGCGCACAATTCTCACGTCACACGACACAGGCAGGGCGGGGGTCGTCTTGACTCTCGGCCATGCGCCGACTCGTCCCACCGTGGTTGACGGTGGCGGGAGATGCTGCACCTCACCTACCTATTTGGCCCCCATGTTCTCCGCACGTCAGGAAGCGGCATGCCTGACATATTCTTTTGTGCATGGCATGTCCTGGCAGCATCCCAGGCCAAAACGTTTGAATGTGAATACGGCATGACAGGTGGGGCGTACAGCCCCATCCCCTACAGCCGTGCGGGCTTGGGCTTCTTCCCCGCCTGCCGGCCCTCCTTGGCCTTCCGCTTCAGGGACTGCACGATGGCGTCCATGCTGGGCGCGGCCGGCTCCCGCTGCACCGGCTCCGACGCCGTCGGCACCGCCGCCCCCTCCTTCCGCAGCTTGGCCACCTGCTTGGCCAGGGTCGCGCTCTCGCCCTTGTATCGGGGGTCCGTGGGGTCCAGGGCATACAGGGACGAGGTGACAATGCTCGAGAAGCGGGGATCCTCCACGCCTGCCACCGGTTTGCCTGCGGGGTAGCAAGAGGTAGGGCCATTGTGTGAGTGTGCTGTGCGTGAGGATGGGGGGTGCTGTGGATGAGGCCACTGAACCGAGTATCCCTGGCAGCCGTGTACCGAGCCCTGACGGCCCCGGTGTGAACCGACGGCACGCACCTGCCAGCGCAAGCTCCTCGTCGTCGGAGCCCTGGGCGCGCTCCGCCCGCCGCGCTGCCTTCTTCAGGCGCAGGCGCTCCTTCTTGGAGAGCTTGGGGGCCGGCTTGCTGGACGTGCCTGGGGAACGGGGCGTGGGGTTGGCGGTGTCCAAACTGGATCTCGTGCAACAGATACACCAGGTACCGACACACCAGGGTCAGGTCTTCCCAACCCGCCATTACCATGGCCGCCGTCCCGCCCTTTCCACCCTCCCCCCGAGGGCCTCGCACCTCCGGCCTGGGCCTTGCGCAGCATGTCGGCCTCGTCCATGAGCAGCATCTCCAGCTCAGCGCGCTCTGCGGCCGTCGCCCCCTCCTCCGCCCTCTTGGACCGTTTCTCCTTCTTCCTGGCCGTGGCAGCGTTGGCCGCCATGCCGGCACCAGGGACCCCCGGAGCCGAGCTGAAGAAGGGGTCGGCGAAGGGGTCCTCCCCCTCGTCGCGTTGGAAGAAGGGGTCGTCTGCCACCCCGGCGGGCAGCATCTCCCCCTCGTCCCCGGAGGAGGCGGGGTCCGGGTCGCCGTCGCTGTCCTCGTCGCTGCTCCCCACGCCGCTCTTTCCCAGCCGCCGGGCCTGGGCCCGCTTCTCGGCCCGCCGCCGCATGTACGCGTCCCACACCGACTCCGCATCGCCGCTGGCGGCCTTTTTCCTGGCCAGCAGGCGCTCCCCCAGGGTCTCCAGCCCGGGGTGGAAGGTCACCTCCAGCTCCATGTCTGTTTGGATGTGGGGCAGTGGGGGATCAGGGGGTTTGGACAGAGTGGGGACCCCCGCTCCGCCCCCCCAGCACCAGCCGCAGGATCAGCAGAGCGCGTGCCCTGTGCAGGATCAGGGGATGCTTGCTCCCCTGAGCCCCGACGCTGTTGACTGCCACACTGCCCGACTCGCAGCAAAGCGAGCCGCACACCCAAACAAGGTGCTCCATCCGCCACCTCCCCCCACCCTTGTCGCGGACAGCCTGGTCCCCGCCGGCCTCGGGCCCCTCCGCCCCGCCCTTGGCCCAGTCCTTGGTCCTGGTCGGCCCATCCTCGGCGCCCGCGCCGGAAAGGAGCGACCTGTACCTCTCCCGAACTGCCTCGGCGTCCAATGCAACGCCCCGCGGCGCATCCTCCTCATCCTCCTCGTCATCCTCCTCCTCGGACGCCAGGTACACCTGTGTGTGTTGGGGGTAGAGCCCCGTCAGGGAACACATCCCCATACCTTCCAACGTAGTCACAGGGGGCGACACACAGCACCACCCAAGAAATAAACAGGAAAGGAGCACCCTTCAGGGCAGCAGCTATGCTCGGCCAAAGCTCGACTGCCAGCCCACCAATGTCTTCCAGAGCACCACTGGGGCTGGGCTGCGCCACCTTGTGCACCCTCCGACGCCCCACAACCAGGGTTCACATGCACCTTGTAGTCATCCTCTCGGATCTCTTCATCCGTCACTCTCCGTCCGAGGGCCTGCTTGCGCCCAGAGTCCACTGCATCCCATGTCAGGTCCACATTCGTGTGTTGCAGCGCCTGTGGCAAGGAGCGGGAGGGCCTTCTGCGTCGGTACGCAGGCCAGTCACATGCCGCTGGCTCGCTGAGCGGGCCTCAGGCGGTGACATCCCGATGAGCGAAATGCGGACACCCCAGCCCGCCCGCCCGCCCCACCTTTGTCTGGAAATTGGGCGGCGCGTAGTCGATGGGCAGCTCCTCTGCCGTGTCCCTCACCTTCCGCCCCTCAAAGCTCTGCCCTTCAGGCACGAAGCGGAGGTCGAACTTGCAGGCCGCTGCAGGGTGCAGCAGGGAGTGCAGGATGGCCACACAGCGCATCGGACCTGGGTCGTGGTGTGTGCCACCCGACTTGCACCGATCGGCATGCCACCCAGGCGCTCGGCCTCCCCATACCAGGCACGCATCCCCCCCCCTCCAGACTCCAGCCCTCCACGCACTCTTCAGGAACTCCATGCCGTCACACTCCTCGTATAGCCGCGAAGCGGTTGCCGCGCCGTCGCACTCGACGACCGCATAGTAGTACCGCAGCCTGGACAGCTCGTACGCCCGGAGCCGCCGCCGCTCTATTTCGGCTGCGTGGAATGATGGGGGACCAAGGAAACGAGTCGTTGACCGTGGCCATGCTGCGCCCGCCACCTGCCCTTGCATGGCACAGCAGCAGGAACGGCGTCTTCTTCTGGACCCCTGGCTCCTGAGAGACCTGTGCATGGGCACGCCTGTGCTGGCCTGACTACGGCCGATCATCCCCCAAACCCCCTCCTCTCCCCCTCCACACACCGTCGTTCCCCGCAGACGGGCCCTCCTCGTCCTCCTCAGACCCGCCCTGGTCTTCCTGCTTCCCATCGGCTCCGGCGTCCCAGATGCCCTGGGGCCCAGCGGTGGCCTCCTCCGCCATGCGCTCCAGACCATAGTCAGAGGGGTAGACAGTGACCCGCTGCACCCCGCCCTTTGGGGGACAGAAGCTGCGCAGCACCGCCAGGATGTCCACGGCTCGCACATGCTCCCAGTCCAGGTCGAGCACGGCCAGCCGCGGTGTGGCGTCGGGGACCAGCGGGATCTGGCGCGGGATACGGCGTGGTGTTAAGCGAATGAGTGGGGTCACCACCGCGTCGTCCATCTCAAGGATCATCGGGTGTCTAGACCTGGAGGCTTGGCTCCTCCACGTCCGACTCCCTCCACACCACATCACGCGTTCAGACCAGCCCCTCCCTCACACCCAAGCCCACCTCACCTGCTCCTGCGGGTTGGCGGCCATGGCCCCCACGCCAAACAGGCGCCTGGCCCGCGCCTCCTCGCGCTCCTCGGTCTCCGCGTCCAGCTGCGCCGCAGCTTCCACGCCGGCCTCAATGGCTGCCTCATCGACATCGCTGTCGGCCTCAGACTCGGAGGAAGATGACGCGGAGCCCAGACCCCTGATGCATTTGGCGGCGGAGAGGATGCGAGGGTCTGTGCTGAGAACCATTCGGGCCTCGCATACGCCTGCCCGATGTGGAGTACAAGAGAAGGGCACAGGCTCGCAGTGCTGAAAGGGTGCACCCCTGTCAAAACTACGAGTCCAGGGAAAGTGATGCACGTTCCATTCCAATTGCCAAGCCGCACCTCATTTTTGCCCATCGCGCCTCGGCTTCAGCCGCCTCATCTTCAGAACTCGAATCGGGGTCAGACGCAACAGGCTTGCCCTTGCCGGCGGGCTCCTCCTCGTCTCCTGCCAGTCGATAGTAGGAGCGTAGTTTTTCGCCTTTTCCACCGCTCTTTACCTGGTTATGTTGGGGGGAGGAGGGGCATGGTCTTTCTGTCGTTCGGGAACATGAAGAGTGGTCAGGCTGCCGTGCAAAGGCAGCTCGGGAGTTTCATACAAACTCCAGCAACGGTCATGTCAGCACCAAGGCCTTAATACCATCACACAAAGTGGCAATCAGTCACCACCAACCGACCTTGCGGCCACGTTTGTCCCGAGCGCCTTGTCCTTGGAAGGCGGCATCCTTGAACATGCCTGCATGCATGAGGAAGGGACCTCAATGCGGTGAGCTGCACCCATCTCTGATGACTGTGGGGAGTATACGGCGCATCCCTCACGATAAAACAGTGCTCCAAGTAGGGTACATCGTGGTAGACACGCGAGTAGTGCACACGATACCTGCGAAGCGGTCATCAATCTTGACTTTGCTCTCCTTCTTGGGGAAGCGCCGGAAACGAGGGTCCGTGCTCACGGCAGCGAAGCGGTCGTCCATTTCTTGATTGTCAGCCTTCCCTGTAGACCCACCAGCCTTCTCAGGCGGCGCCATGAGGGACCCGTGCGCCCTGGAAACGGCAAAGGGCCTAAGAAATTTATACGACGAGGAGGCAGTGAAGCCTAGGTACACCCTTCAGCCTCGAGCGCAGCCTGCTTGCACACGAAATGTATTCAATATATATATACTACATACAATGCACGCTTCAGCTTGTCACAACTCGAGGTGCATCGCTCCCGAGGTCCGGGTTGCGCCTTTCGGCGCGCTGGCTGGATGACTTGACAGCGCGCGGTCGGGAGGCCTGCAACCTCATGTGCCTGTCTGAAAACATGCGATGCAATGCTGCCTGTGAAGACCCGTTGAGATAGTCCCCTAGGAGATCATCTCAATCGTTGAAGTCTCGTGCGATGTCGGCGTCAGCGCACCCAGCGCACCCCGTCTTCTTCCGGCCACCCTCTGACCATGATCTGAGCAGGATATGTGCGCTTGAGGTGAGCTGGGTTGCCAGTCGTAGCAGCAAGGGCAGCATGCAAGGATCACTAGGGAATTTTGGAGCCAGCATGATTCGATAATGGTGCACATCACCCTCCTACTTGGTTCAGGCTGCAGGCTACCCCTTGGAGGAGGCGGCCAGCCCCAGCCAACTGGAGTTCCGCCTACGAGAAGGTACACTTTATCGTGAGGATATTTAGTGGAGATCTGGAATGCCAGATTTCGACGGGAATTGCAGCGCTGGATTTGGCCTCAACTGCAGGTATGGTCTCCAGGTTACCAAGACCGGTCGATTGCAACTCAAAGATACCTGAAACTTCCTTCAGCTCCGGAGCTGTTTTTGGTAGCAGAAGGCCCCGACTCCTCAGTTGTGGCCTATGCTTGTGGCACAGCCTGCCATGGAAGCAGCCTCACCCACGAGTCCATGAGCAGCCATGATCCAGAGGGTAGCACCCTCGCGCTGCACTCTGTCTGCGTCGCTGCAGAGCACAGACGGCAGGGCCTCGCCACGAGGTGAGGGGCATGGGCACGCTAGACTACCTGGAAAGATAAGATGTCGCCATAGTTGCTGGGGCCTGCTGACTTGTGCAGCAGCGTCGTAGCCTCCTTCCTGGTGTCTCAGCTGCAGTCCAAGTGATTGACTCCAGCCCCTGGCATGCCTGTTCTGAGCTCTGAAACATCATATCAACGTACTTTCCAGATTGCTCAAGGCCTACATACAATATGTGCAAGTGACAGCCCCTCAGATATCTACCATGGTCCTCCTCTGCAAAGACCACTTGGTGCGACGAGGTAGTGGACAGGCTTGCAGTATTATTGTTGCCGGTATGGTGTGCCTGAAGCTGCCGACTTGAAATGGCGCCCTGCAGTGGGCAGATCTGTCCTGCAACATGAAGCCGTGGTGCATGCCATCACTACTCTGCAGGTAGCTTTGTATGAGGGAGCGGGCTTTGGGTTAATTGGCCCTTCCTCGGTGGTCCATGGCCAAGATGTGTGGCTGGAGATGCGCCTGGACTTCAGTGACAGTGCTGATGGGCTTGACTGGTGCGTGGGCGCCTGAGACATTCATTTCGCTGGAGCAATCCACATGGCAGATTTCAAGAAGCCAGCCCAGCGTGCTCGAAATTCTGCCACATCGGCCCTCCCCTTCCAAATGTAAGCCCAGACACCGCACCCACCCCCCGGATCATACCGAAGAGTCGCACCAGGAGTACTCACGGCCCGCGAGCCGCATCGATCACAGTGTTCCTCACAGAAGGGGTGTCATGGCTCCCGGCCGGGGTGCAGTGAGGCTCCTCACGACAGCGATCTGCATCGGATTGTATAGTCATTGCCTTGCTGTTCCACAGGAGCTCACAGACGTGGAGAAGGTGCGAGTACTATGCGTCTACAACAGGTAGTGCGTCTGCGATCGGGGGCTAGCTAGTAGGCAAGCGTACTCCTTTGCCGCGCCACAGGTGGCCGCCCTATCCAAGCTACAGAGTCAATCCAGCGATGGAGTCATTCAGCTGACAAAGGAGGTGTTTGATCGATACATCGTGGGCCCTGCTCGGCCCTTCACCCTCTACGTCTTGGCAGGTCAGGGGGGTGTGAGGTGTGGTGTTTGTGGTGACCATGCTCCCCCAGGAATAGCATCTTTCGATTTCTGTACTCCTGCCACGCGCAGATGCTCTGCACATGCGCAACCAGGGCAACATGAAGCTCGGCCAGGTAGCCAGGGAATACGGCCTGGTGGCCTCCACCCTCCGCAAGGCAACACCTGGCAAGGTTTTCCTGACGCGGGCAGAGTTTACCAGCGAGAAGGAGCTGTTTGGAAAGTGAGAGGAGGAACCGGGGGTGAAGATTGCTTGGCATCTGGGAAGGGTGGCAGAGACGGCGCCGGAATGCGTGGTGTGAAGTATGTACCACAGAAGGTTGCCCATGCGATCCGCCAGGTCCAAGCTGTAGCCGTATGGCTCGCGGAACACATGTCTCTGCTCACTGTTCCCTCGTCTACAAGTCCTGCTTCCCCCAACCAACAATCATACTCCCGTCCCCCGCAGGCTGGGCATCGTGTCGCTACCACACCTCGCCCTCATACCCCCCAGCCTGCCAGTGGGCGCTGCGCAGGCCGTCGGCCTCACCAAGGACCATGCCATGCCCCTCAACGACTACCCCTGGTCGGCCGAGACCATCGCGGGGTGGGTGATGGAGACGGCAGGCCTGCCTGCCGTCGAGATCAATCGGCCCTCGCTGCTCAAGTCCAGGTAGGGGGTGTAGTTGACTGGGTGGGGTGCGGGCGGCTGTCGTGCCTGGCCGGGTCTACCACGCTGCACACAGCTGGGTGCTCTGAGAGATTTGACGGAGCAGTACGCGGCTTGAACAATGCTTGACGCTAGGTGTTCGCCAAGGCACAGTTTTCGCACTCCCCATCACCCACCAGGTTTGCACCGGTCTTTATGCTCCTCTTCATGGCGAGCGCCGCAGTGCTGGGGTACCGCCTGTACCATGCCCCCTTCCTGCGCCACACCTGGATCTACATGGCGGGAAGCCTCGTGATCTACTGGTTCTCCGTCTCGGGTGAGACGACTGGTAGGGAAGGGGGGATCCTGTGCACATCAGGTTCTAGACTGGCAGCTGCCAGGAGGCAATGCCACTCAATCATTCCTGCATGTCCCACCCTGCCCAGCTCTCATGTCTACAACCGGCCCTCTCTCTCATATCCATTTTCCTTCTCAACCCCCTCTCCTTCTCTCGCCAGGCGGCATGTACATCATCATCCGGGGCATGCCCTTCGTGCAGTTCGACCAGCGGACGCGCAGCTCCAACCTTTTCCTGCCCGGCCAGGGCCAGCTGGGCGCGGAGGGGTACATCATGGGCACCCAGTACCTGCTCTTCGGCCTGGCGGTGGCCGCGGGCACGCACCTGCTGCCGCGCGTGCGGGACAGCGCCGCGCGGCGCCGGCTGGGCTACGCCCTCATCGCCGGCGGCGCGCTGCTCATGCGCAGCATCATGGGGACGCACCACTGGAAGACGGGCATGACCACGCACTGGTACTGACGCGGTGCATGGAGTGAGGGTCGAAGGGGTGTGAAGACCATTACGACAAGAAGTTGACTTGTGAAGGAAGCTACGGTGTGCATGGGTGGGGGGAATCAATGGGCAGGGTGGAGGCATGGCGGGTACCGTGAGTGGACAGAGTCAGAGACTGCATGACGCACAGAGCGGGGCACTACGTGAGGCCCAGGGATGGCCTGCCGCCGGGGGGGAGGGCTTCCGCTGCGCCCGCAGAGGCGGCGCATGACTCCCCGGACAGGTTGAGCCCCGGCTCACAGTGGCACACCTCGCCGGTCTCCGCCGGCACAGCCTCCGCCTTGGCTGCGGCGAGGGGCTGGAGGTCCACGCCCCACTCCTCGTGCACGGCATCCAGCAGCCAGGAGAAAAGAGCATCTCGCTGGCCTTGCGATGCCAGGTGGGCCGCCAGGGCCCCCTTTGGAGGAAAGCGGGGAGCAATGAACATGTCGCACGGGGCGCTGCGCGGATCATGACTCTGTCGCGTGCCCAGCCTTGCCCTCCGGTGGCAGCCCAAACGACTCGATTGCCCCCACCGATGCCAGCCATCTTCGCAGCATTTGACGCTCACCTGCAGCTTCTCCAGCTTGGTGAGCGGAGGGCCGTCGGGGTGGCCCTGGACGAGGCGGGTGTAGCCCCTCCACACCGCGCCCAGCCGCACCCGGCTGGGGTCGTCCCTCTGCGCCACCAGCGCCCTGCAGGGAGGCATGGATGGAAGGGGTTGTATGAAGGCTGCTTTGCCGCAACAACATGCTGAGTCTTCCACAAGGGACCCCGCACACTCCCTGGCGTGCACCTTTGGCGACAGAACCCGGGCTGCATCAGGATGGCGCCGCCACCCACGTGTCACCAGGCCACACACAGGGTGGCATGCACTGCCCATCGTCGATCGACACCACACACGCCACGTACTCTTTCCCACCAACACCCCTGGCTCCTCCCCTTGAAAATAACACCACTCACGCTCGCAGACTGCTGAGAGTATCGTCGTGGGCGCTGGCCGGCCCTGCCTCCGCCCCTTGGCTCCTGATGGAGAAGGGGGTGAGTCGGCCGGCGCTGGTCCGCACCACCCACATGCGGATCTGGGATGCCTGCGGGGTTAGGATTTAAATGACGGGTGGGGTTTGTGAATGATCTCACCCCCACCACATGTTGCGGCTCTGACGGGTGGGCATCCAGGTTGATCACCTCGGCCCGGGCTGGAGTTGGCACATGTGAAATCCCAGCATGGCCCTTGCTGGCGTCCCGCGTGGCCCTGCCACCTGATCCCCTCAGAAATCCACCCTCACCACCTGGACACACCGTGGAGGGGAGGCTGGCGTCGTAGGGGGAGACGATGGCGCCTACCCAGGGCGCCAGCCCGGCCTCAGGGTCGTGGCAGAGGGCTTGATAGTTGCGCTGGTTCTCGTTGTCCTTCTGAGAGGGCCGTGCCTCAAACACCGGGTGGGAGTGGTACCTGGCAGTGGGCAGGAGGGAGGAAAGGGGGAAGCGTCGCTTGGGGGGGCAGGACGAAGCTGCGCCCGGACGGAACCCTGTACAGCCTCGAGCAGGCTCCCGCACACCGCATGCAGCAGCGAGCTCCGCGTGGCACGGCGAGACTCGCCAGCGACGACTGCAGAGGCGGGCGCAGGCACCCGGGGTTTCCAGGTCCGACCATGCGTCGTCAGGCCCTGCAACGCAAGCGCTCCCCACGCCGTCGACCCGCCGCCACGCTCACCAGCCCACGGCGGCCTGCCCTCTCGCTGACATGGCGGTGGTCGCCTCGACCTGCGACGCGGGGTCCAGCTCCACCGAGGTGCCTGCAGGAGGGTGCGGACAGGAGGTGATGAGGATCTAGGCTGCCCCAACACATTGAGGGTCTGTCGGCCAGCTTGACGCCTTGAAAGGCAGAACTCTGGTGATGAAAGGGGCTCTCCTCACGATGCGGCGGCAGGAATTGCAGTGCAGGAAAACCCCGCGCCTTCCTTTCCCCATGGTCTGAAACAACCGCCTACCACCAAGACCACGGCCCTGGCCCCGCATCCAGGGCCTCACCGGAGTCGGAGCCTTGCGCCCTGCGGCAGGGGTATGCCTCGTCCACGTGCAACACCCTGCGCCCAGCCTCGTACCGGCCGCCCAGGAGGCCAATTACCTCGTACCCGCTCAGGTGGGCGTGAAAGTCCATCACCAGCCGCGCCTGGGTGGGGCGGTCGCCGTGTGAGTGTGAGGGTGCGGGGGAGAGGGGGCGGAAGGCAGCGTGCGCGATGCAGAGATGGATCACGGGGAGGGGGGCATACGGAGTGAGGTGAGGCCAGCGCAGGATCCAAGGCGCCTGCTGTCGAGCAGCTGGGCTAGGGCGATAACACAACTACGCCGTACTTACACCCCACCTGGCTCGAGGTGACCACTGCAAAGGGCTGTGCGAGGGGGGCGGCCGACCCGGGAGGGCCCACAAACTCCTTGGGGCAGGTGAGGTCAAGGGATTCGCTCGTGTCCCCCATGACGGCACGCTGGCCTCCCTGCCGCCGTGGCCGTGCCTTGGAGTATTCGGTGGGTTCCGCGGGGGAGGAGCCCTGGTAGACGCAGGAGGAAGGCCGGGAAGGGGCGTGAACAGGCATGAGAGAATGGCATGGGAAGGTGCTGGCAGGCCAGGCAGGGCATGGGTTCCTGCAGAGCGGGCACATCAGGAATTTGAACATCCCTCGGCCACCCCATCACCTCAGCCGCAGCGGGGAAAGCAGGCGCCAAGGGCCTGCCCTCATCCTCCGAGTCACTCGAGCCCCTCTTCTTGCGGCCACGCTTGGCGGCACACAGCGCAGCCGATGCTGCACAAGCAGGGGTGGTGAAGGAGGGTGGTGAGTGTTGTGAGAGTAGTTTAAGACATTCGAAGACCCCATTGTAACACCGGCTGACACTCCCAGGGGCATCCATCCGCGGGCATACCCTTGGGCAAGCGTTTGACGACACCTGCCGGCTCTGCCTCCATCTCGAGACTGGTGACATGGATGCCCACTGTCAGCTTCCCGTCGGCTGCCACCCCTGTTAGGATGGGCAGGTGTGGATGATTCCTGGGGGCCCGTGGTCCGCCGCAGGGCCTGCAGAGCGACCAACCAGGGACGCACACAACGAGGCCTAGCCATGCATGCATGTATTGATACATGCTTGCACACTCGGAGCGAGTGGCCTGCACAACCCGCTCACTGTGGAAGGCATCGGGACGGAGGCCGTATGCCCTGGCAGAGGCGCAGTTGGGGTCCAGCGGACGACCTGGTCCAGATTTCGAAGGGTCGGACTCGCAAATTTGTGCAGAACGGCACGCGCAGTCTCCTGCACCACGCTCTCAGCATGCATCGGCACCTGACAAGGTGTAGCCGGCCCCCGAAGCTGCGACTGCTTCAGGCAAGGCCTCGCCCCGAAGCAGCAGCTTGATGAAGTGCTTCTGTGCATGGCTGGTCACTGCCCTGCTTGAGATGGAACGAGGGAGAGGAGCTGCCATTCCTACCTCTGAAGTTTGCTCACCATCGGTCAAGTGCAGAGGGTACAGGGAACGGGTGGCTCATTTCCAGACGCGACCGTTACTGCATGGCGCACTTCCAGCTCCACGCCAGACTCTTGCCATCTCCCCGTTGTGACACCCAAGGATCTGGGGCGTCCCCAGTCCACACTACCTGGGATCCCTGGTGACGAGGTGCTCGGCGCACTTCTTCCAGTCGCGCCCGTGGAGGTCCAGGGCCTCCAGGAATAGGCTCTCCTCCCCGCTGGACCATGAGCGTGAGGTCGTTCGCTGCTTGCCTGCAATCATCCGATGTGACGAGAAAGTCGACTGGGATGCGCATCCCTGGCTAGATCAGCACCTCTACCCCAACCCAGCCCGCCCACCCCTAGCACCTGTGTCCTTGCGTTTTCGTCGGCCTGAGGCCGTCAGCTGGTGCTGGTCTGGGGCAACATGACCGGCCTCGGCCGGGACAGGGTCAGGAGACAGCCGTCCATGCGCCTTCAGGCCTGCCAGGACCGAGAATGGTGGCGAGCTTGCAGCGATGGCGGCAAGCTCCACGGATGTCACCGTCGTGGGCCACAAGGCAGTATCAGGCCACAGCTGCATACCTGGCTCAGACAGGCACTCTGGGGCACCTGCAGCATACTCCAGCTCATCTGCGTCCAGTGAGTACTCCTCCTCGTCGTCACCACCATCCTCGTTTGCCTGAGGTGGTGATCAGTCCGAGGTCTTCGGCGGCCAAGAGTACAGAATTCGCATCGGCCTTGGCGTGGAGCAGGCTGCATGGGTCCCCGTGGAGAGTGATCCACCCCTGGCACACAGGTCACAGACCCCAACTGTACGCCCAGCGACACCACACCGCACCAGTAGTCGTGCAATTGCTGCATCGTTTGCGGCGTCCACATCCATGCTCAGTGGGTGTGCGGCCTGGGTGGCGCTGCGATCCAGTCAGGATGATCGGATTGTCAAGGGGGTGTGTCGGCTGGATGCCGGGCGAGCGAGGTCGGATTGGAGAATGTGCGACGCTACAATCATTGCATTCAACCCTGCGCAGCCGCGATCGGGGCACGGCTTTGCCCCTGCCTCCTCTGCATGCCTCGATCCGAGCTTCATTTCGTATTCAAGTCGCGAGAATCGCGCGCCCAGCCTTCCCGCGCATCATTTCATATGCCAGACCCCTCTCGAGGCCTCCCTCAAGCAGCCAGGAACAGGAAATCCCTGCCTCGCCCCCAGGCTGCCAACTTTCGTGCTGCTACGTTCAGACAGGCAAGGTCCAGGGTGCTTCACGTCGCTGCAATGTGGACCTCCAGCTGGGCGCGCTGTCCGGCCGGCGTCACAATCTTCAGGGGCAGCAGGAACTCCCCCACCTCGCTCAGCTTCTCGTTCCCGATGTCCAACAGCTCGGGGACAAGGGTGATGCACAGCTGCCGAGCCACCGCCTCCACCACGTCCTCCCGCTCGAGAGGGACCGCCAGCTTGAGCCCCTCGGCCTTCCGTTTGAACACCTGGGGTGAGGATGTGCATGGCAGAGTGTTGACCTGCAGCATGCTAACATGTCAGCATGCCATTACTGATCTACAACATCGCACAGGTATTGGTGTTACCCCTTGCATCTCCTAGAATCGTAAGGATGCCTGACAAGGAGAGCCACATCAGACCTCATCCATGCACCTCATGGACGTGTCAAGATCCCACCCAACTTCCCCAACCCACCAGGGGAGTCTTCAGCTTCTCCATTACAGCACCAGCTTCGTCCTTGGGGGTGCTCTTGGCCTCAGGCTCCTCAGCCTGTTGGGAGGCATGATGGGATGGGTTTGAGACACTCAAGATAACAGGGAACATCTGCAAAGCCACGTGGTCGTGCTTTCGTCAGTACTTTCTCAGAAAGTCTGCGCACACAGCTACACACCTGGCTCTGACTTGTGCTCGTGGCCAAACCAGCACCCTGCAGAGCTGCTGCAGCCTGCTGAGTTCGTTCCCGTCGACTCAGCGATGTGTCAAATGCTAGCTGCTGTGCCAATTTCTGCGGGAGCAGGTAGTTCCGGGCGTATCCGGCCGAGACTTGGACTACTGACCCAGATTCTCCGAGGCCATTGACATCCTGTCGCGAATGGTCGGGAGGTGGGCTGTGCGGGGTTCGGTGGAAATTGAGCAGGGTAAGACGTTGTATTCGACCCAGCTACTTCCCCAACGACCTCACACCTTGAGGAGCTTCACATCAAGTTTTCTAGACACGGATTTGAATGACCTAATCTGCTGAAGTTGTGCTGCGCATCGCCAGAAGAGGTGGCCGACCTGCCTCCTGTCCATAGCGGGCCTACTGTCTTGTCAACCCGGCGTACTTCAATTATCTGTTACCAGATAATATACTTAAGGATATCATATGTTGTTCATAGAGTGAAGTGGGTTCATCCAGGGCAGGTGAACGCCACGAATACTGGGGGAGAGTTTCCGCGCCCATGGTTTGCGCGCGCTGTACCATCGCTGGGAGGAGGGTTTGCTTCTGCTGGAAGCCTTTGTGAGACTCCTGAATGACATCTTGAGTCGGCTTTATAAGGTAGGTTGCCTGGTTACGTTGCCCAAACGCACTTAGAGATGGTGCAAGCAGATAGCTGTTTTCACGAATCAGTCTGCATATCTATGTCACATTCTGATCGCCCTGTATGTGGGTCTACTGCCTAAACTCCATTACGAGGCAACCATTTTAGGTACACTATACACAGCAATCGCTTGTGCTTCACAACCCCCCAGATTCGGCATAATGACTGAATGCTTGCCCTCTTCCGTGATGTCCCCTCACCAAGAGCCATGCTGTTGGTCAAGGGGAGTGGAGATGAGGCCGGCCGTATCACGCAGAAGAGCATCAAAGTCATGTACAATGGGGATGTATTTCGTTTCATTTCCCAATCCCTGCTGACATCCAATTCAAGTATACCTGTTGCTTTGATACAGCATCCTGACATGGAATTACATGGCGAGCTGGGAGGGAGTGTCGACTCTTGCACAATGGACCACATCCCCCAGTCATCACTTGGCATTGACAGCCATTTGCACACCATTTGCACTCCCGCACGAAGCAAACCCGATGTTAGTCCTGTGGAGTGATTAGATATGGCACATTTGTCAGTTCGACCTCTGGGATTACACTTCCAAAGATGACGCATCTGAATTTCACTGAGCAGGCGAGTCGAAGTTCATATTACAGTTCCACCACCATCCCCTTTCAACATCCGCCTCATTCGAGCCACTCTCACACCTTTTGTCGCCAAGGGCAATCTGGTTAATCCCAGACAGCAGAACCTTCTGGTGCTCAAACGGAACTCCAGTGGCGTCCACCAGCTTCAGCTTAATTTCATCCTTGGTTGCTGTGGGCTCCAGATCAATGGTGACCTCATTCCCGCAGGCCAGGTGGGGGGTGATGATCTTCACCTGCAGAGGCACGGCGTGTGCGGCTTGATGTTCAAAGAAAAGGGAAGCAAGAGAGGCTTCCACGACTTTCTGCAGCACAGGGGATGTCAAAGTGCTGCGGTCTCTGAAGCTTCCCCCTTCCCCATTTGCCAGCGCCCAGGATTGCGGCAGCAGCAGCAGAGGCAGCGCACCTTCACAGGCACCCCCCCACGCAGGCGGCTAGAGAGGTGCAGCGTTGATCCGTGGCTCAGAGACGAGCTTTCTATCGTATGGTCTCCGCTCATCAGGCGACCTCCGGCCACCAGGACCTGGTCTGCAGGGCTGACATGCTCCACGTCCTGCACGGCATGAGTGCCGTAAATATGTGTCGTCAGGCTTCATCTCCATCGCGTGCAATATCTTACTAACAACACTTTCCGCACTCAGTACCTACCTGGACCCTGAGCTGCAAGTCCGCGATGCTAGATGCAGAGTCCACCTCGAGAACCCGGGTACGCCCTGAGAGGCCACGCAGAAAGATCTGCATCTTCCCCAGCCGCAAGGGCCTGCTGTAACGATTGGATGCTATCCGTACTCGGTTATAGAATGCTCGTGATCGCCGCTTGCCAGGTTTGCAGACTGCACCGACGAAGCTCGGCGAAAGTCTTGATTTGACTGGTCAATTTCCAGGTTTCTTCATTTGCGCGCCTGAACATTTTGCGCCCGGAACAAGGGGTTCCGATACACGATCGGGGAGGTCTCGCCCAATAATCCTCTGGGCCTGTGGGCCTGAATACCGCTGAAATAAGCGCTGCCTGCAAGCTATGTTAGGTTGAGCAAATCGAAGCCTTACCTCGCCTCCCTTCGGGCGCTGCAGCGGGGTTGCACTGGGAATGAGCGATGACGACGAGGGATTCCTGGACTTTAGTGTTGCCACACCCTTTGAGAGGTGAGTCGACAGTGGTGCTGAGACCAACACTTCCCTTGATTTTGTATCTCATGCAAATGATTGGCGCCCGAGCCCCTCGTCCATGCGCAGACTGGTGGCCAAGCTGACGACCAGCATCCAGGCCCTGCTCCTCAAAGGCAAGGGCATGGGAGGAGCACCGTCACCGTGCATGCCCTGGTTGCAGATATGTTGCACAGTAAACAGCATCACATGAGGCTCATGGCACCTCGCATCCCAAGCCCCGTTGCCCTCCCTCCACCCAGAGAGGAGCAGCTACCTCGTGATCGACCATGCCCTCCCCTTCCGGAGGGACAACTACATTCTGAGCCTGATACGGGGCGACCCTGCCTCAGCCCCTCTCCAGGACCGCGCCAGCAAGCTCCAGGACTGGTTCCAGGTGGACTCCCACCTGACCCTGGTGCCCGACAGCCACTCCGGGCGCATCCTGGACCAAGAGGTGAGGAGGGTGTGAGGCGGTGGGCTGTTTGGGCACCATAGAGAAGTCTTTTGGATGGTCCATGGGGCAAGCGTTCCTGAATGTGACCATCTTCCTGGGCAGTGTTGTGTTCCCAGCCCTCGGCGCCAAGGGAGGCTGTGGCGATGGTCTATTTGCCCCTCATGCCACGACGCCATCCCCACCTGCATACCCCACCCCTCCTCTCTGCGCTCCCACCCGGTGCAGGAGGCCAGCACGCTGCTGAGCGCGGGAGCCATCGCGGGGTCGAACGCCGCCTGCCCCCTGCCCCTCTTCGTCCCCGTGCAGGACGCGCTGCGGGACGGGGCGCTGGGCGTTGACCCCGGTGGCGCCGCCCACTACGAGTCCGACTCGCTGCACACCTCTGCCCTGCCCTCCGCCTTGTTTTACCCTGGCGAGCAGCTGCGCCTGTTTGCGGCGCGCCTGGACGCACGTGACGCCCCCGCCGCGCAGTCCTGCCGCGACGCCGCGGAAGCGGGGCGGGACGACGAAGACGGTGACGGCGACGGCGTCGGCGCCCCCCATGGCTGCGACCTGTTGCCGCGCGTCTCGCTCCAGGCACGGGCCAGCTTCCCGCTGGCTTCCCCGCCGTCCCACGACCCCGCCCCGGCCGCCGGGCCCCAGCTGGGCGCCGTGCTGGCGGCCTTCTTCCGCCCGCCCCGCCTGCCGGTGCGCCTGGACCTGGACCTGGTCTGGCGCTACGCCGACGCCGGCCGCGCCGTGGCGGCGGCCACGGGCAGGTTCGATCCGGCCTCGACCGCGGAGTGGCACCTGGCGGCCCTGGACCCGGGCACGGAGCGCGACGACGGGCACAGGTGGGGCTTGGGCTTGTTGTTGTCGTTGAGAGGGTTTGGTGGAATGCGCTTTCAGTGAAGATATTTGTGTGTGTGTGTGGAGGTACACATGCGTGCCTGTAATGCACACGGTGCTCGACGTACAATTCGTCCACAAAGGCATTCACACAACCAGCCACGCCCCACTCGTCCATTTGACCCAGGGGTTTCGTGCTGCAGGCCGTGGACCGGCGGCGGCGCTACCTTCGCCTGGCCGGCGTGGGCGCCGAGGCCAGCGGGATGCACGATGCCAGCCCAAGGTCGAGTGCCGGCTCCGAGGGCACGCCCCTGTCCGGCGCCCTGGCCGCGCTGGCCTCGGAAGCCGGCGCCGCGGCCCAGGCGCCCAGCATGGGCCACCTGGCCAGCGCGGACTGGTGGGCGGCGCGCGGCGCGCGCCCGCCGCCCTGCCCCACCCCCGACGCCGACTTCTACGCGCTGCTGGGCGAGGTGCTGGCGCGCGACGGCGGGCCCCGCGTCGACGGCGGCGGCGGGGCCGCGGCGGCGGCGCCGCGGTACGTGGGCAAGGCCGCCCCCCCGGACTCGCTGCTGGGCAGGTTCTCCCTGGCGGCGCTGCACCTGCGCGGCGCGCGCCGCGTCGCCACGGCCTGGAACGCGCTGCTGCGCACGCTGCGTTTCGAGTACCTTGAGCACGGCGCGGCGGGGCCGGCGGGGGGGGTGCCTCGCGCAGGGGGGCCCGGTGGACCTCGGCGCCGCGCTGCCGCACCAGCACCTGCAGCTCTTCCAGCTCAGCGTGGCGAGGCTGCGCGACGCGGAGGACGGCCCCGCGTGCCTGGCCAGGCGCGCCTCGGACGGCTCGGAGACCTCGGCCTCCTCCCTCTTCCTGTCTGCCGGGGAGGAGGGCGTCGCGGATGGCGATTCGGGCGTGGTGGGCCTGCTGGACGCTGGCATGGCGGGCACGGAGGTGGCGGGAGGCGGCGGGGCGAGCGGTGGGGATGAGGGGGCCGGCTCCCTTGATCGCGGCTCGGAGGACGATGGTCTCGAGGATGGCAGCCCAGCGAAGAGCGGGTCGGCGAAGCGCGACGATGCTCCTGTCTTGCAGACACGAGCGCATGGCTCGGGTTCCGCCGCCGGCCGGGCCCTCGAGCGTCCCGGCAGTGATGAGGCGAGCCATACCCTCGCTGCCGTGCCTCGGGGCGTGGCTTCCATTCTCCCCGGCGCGTACCTGCTGCACCACCCAGACGTCCCACTGGCCGTGCCCGAGACCCAGGCGGCGCCGCCCTGCACCGAGGAGGCGCTGCTCGGAGCGGGTCCCAGCAGCGGCCAAGGAGAGGATGGCGGGGGAGTGCGCGCCTCGCACGCCGCGCTCCTGGCGTCGGACATGGCGGCCTTCAAGGCCGCCAACCCGGCGGGCGCCTGCCTGGCCGACTTTGTGCACTGGCACAGCCCCAAGGACTGGCGCCCGGGGGGCTCGCTGAGTGCCAGGATGGCCGCCCCGGGCAACGCGTGGGCGGCGGCCTGGGAGGGCGCGCGCGCCTGCCCCGCCGCGCGGCAGCGCCCGCTGCACCAGCCCCGCCGCGAGGCGGAGCGCGCTCTGCACGCGCTGGAGACGGTCCTGCCCGAGCACTTCTGGCGCGCGCTGCTGGCGGTGGCGCGCAGCACCGCGCTGGCGGTGCTGCAAGCCAGTGAAGTCGCCGGCATGGCGCCCGTGGCCGGGCAGCTGGAGAGGTATGCGGTGAAAGGGGTAGGGGGCGGACACTGGACGGCACGTCGAACCCCAGAGGGGTGGCCGAGCGCAGGGCCCAGCGCGCGGCTGTGGGAGGACCCCGGGGACGATGCGCTTCGATTCTCGAGATGAGCGTGACGTGTGCGGGCCTCTGGGTCTCTGGCCTGATGATCCTGGGGCCCCATGCCTGACCGCCTCGACGCCTGCCCACCCCCCCACCTCACCGCCACTCGAATCCAACCCCCACCTCCTCGCCAGGCTGCGCCGCCAAATGGAGGCCGCCGACCCCGACGACTTCCCCGCCGAGGACTTCCGGCGCGTGGAGACGCTCATCGCCACGGCCTCCTCCATGCTGTGCACGCTGGGCTCCCTGCCCCAGGGCCTGGGCGCCGAAGCCGGCCCCGCCGGCCGGCGCGGCGCGGGCCGTGTCGCCTGGGACCTGACCGCCCGGGCGCTGGAGCGCGCGCTGGGCGACGGGGCTGGGCGCGCATCCGACCCCGGCGCCGCCCGCCACGCTGCGGCGGCGCCGGTGCAGCCCGGGGAGCGGGAGTTCCTGGCCGCGTGCATGAGCGGCGGCGCGGCCGACGACGCGGCCGCCTGGCCGTCGGCCCACCGCACCGAGTGGCTGCTGTGCATAGGGGGTGGGGGCGGCGCGCAGCACCGCCTGCACGTGGAAAGCCTGGCGGCGGAGCTGCGGGTGTCCTCCGTCCTGCTGGCCAGGGGGTCCAGGCGGGGCTCAGAGCAGCAGCGCGGTGTGGAGCACTGAATGTGGCACGCCGAGAACACCATGGAGGCGCTGTGCGTGAGTGTGTGCTGGGCCATGCGGAGCTGGCGACCCATGTGCGTGCAAGGCACACAAGGAGTCCGAGACCAGGACCCTGGCGTCAGATCCATCACTGGGCGCGAAGTCCCGCGCACGACACAGTCCCCTTCTCCGGAAAAGAAGCATGCAGACCTCATCAGGCATTGTACATACGTGGCCTGCTTATGATGCGCTCTGAATAGTAAATCAATTATTGGAAAGAATGCGCGCCGGCGTGCGCTGGGCATCGCTCCCGCTGTGGGCGACGTCCGTGGCAGCGGCGTACCGCATTCTGCCCCCGGAGCCTGCCCACTGCTCGGCATCTCCACAGAACCACAGCGTCGATCCCGGTTTTTCCAAACTCGATGAGCATGTTGGGGCATTCAAGGCCTGGCTGCAGCAGGCTGGCGGGGAGGTGTCGGGAGTAGAGTTCAGGCCAGCGCACCAGGTGTGACCATGTTGGGGCGTTGTGCTATTTCGGCACTCGGCCTTGAGACAGGCAGCATCAGTTCGACGCGGGAATCACCATTTGGAACCCCAATTTCATCCCACAAACAATGCTCAGGAGGCCAGCGGCATGGCAGTGTATGCGAATGCGTCTCTCGGGGCTCGGCAGGGCTGGGGCCAGTGGGCAGCGCAGAAGCTGCGCCTCCCATTCGCCCCCCAGCCTGTCAGCCTGGCCGCCTTCCCGCTGTCCCTGGCCCTGACCGGCCAGTCCGTGGCCGCCAGGTCCCCCTGTCTGGGGGCAGGAATGGATTCGGGGGCCGTCGACGAGCGCGACGCCGTTATCCTATACCTGGCGGCGCAGCGCCGGCTCGGTCCGGCCTCGCAGTTGCATCCCTGGCTGCGCCTGCTGCCCAAAACCTTCACGACCACGCTCTTCTGGAAGGACGAGGAGGTGGAGTGGCTGGCGGGGACGACGCTGCATCGGGCCACGCTGTGAGTGGAGTGGGTTTATCAAGGTATCGGTGCCTTGGGCCATAGGGTCGATGAGTTGGGGAGGGGAGTTGGGCTGAAAGTGCCTCAAATTGCTCATAGTTCCCATTGCTGAGGATCAAAGAAATATGATTTAAGAGAACTCCAATGTGGGACCCGGCTCTGCAAGCTCCCTGAGATGAACCCAGTGGAGCGTCGTCAAGACCCTGCACAACCTCTCTTTTCGTCACCCTCACCAGAGGCCAGGTCGCCTCCCTGGTTCCCCATCTCGTGCCTGGCATACCAGTGCGCCATTCCATCATCCTAGGCACTACCACCATCTCCCCTCACCGTGCAGCCTGCGGCGCATGCAGCTACGAGAATCCTGGAAGGCGCTGACCGGGCTGGCCTCGCGGCTCGCGGCGGAGGCCGGCGCACCCTCCCCACCCACCGAATCAGACTTCCTCTGGGCCCACGCCGTGTTCTGGTCCCGGGCCATCGCCTTCCCCTGCCCGCCCGAGGCGCTGCCTGGTGGAAGGTCAACAACCGCCGGCCCCAGCCCGCAGGAGGGCGTCGTGCCGGGCCTGGACTTCTGCAACCACGCCATGCGCCCAGTCGCCCGCTGGACCGTGTACGGCGCGGAGCTCGACGGCGCGGGCGGCGGCCGTCGCCACGTGCACCTGGTCCCCGGCGTCGCGCCGCCCGCTCCGGGGGCCGAGCTTTGCATCAGCTACGGCGACGACAAGTCCAATGAGGAGCTCCTCTTCCTCTACGGCTTCGCGCTGCCAGAGGCCAGCGGGCTCGCCCGCCTGATGCTGCCCCTCCCGCTGCCGGCCGCGGCAGAGGACTGGACGCCGCGCCTGCACGCGCGCGTGGCGCTGCTGGCGGCGCGCGGCCTGCCGCCGCAGGTCTTCCTGCCGCGGGCCGCGCTGGCTGGCGGAGGGCCAGGGCCCCTGGGCGCGGTGCCTGACGCCGCGCTGCGCACGCTGGAGGTGTTTGTCCTGGACGACGCCGAGCTGGCGCGCGGCCTGGAGGCGGCGGAGCGTGGCGATGGAGCGGCGGGGGCGGAGGGTGCCCCCGGCGCGGAGGGGCCGGAGGCCTGTGCGGCCACGCGCGCGCGCCTCGAGCGAGGTAGGGTCAGGGAAACGAGGGTGAGGGACTCGCCTTTCCAGCTAGGCAGGTCTGGCTGTGCTTGTCGCGTGCGACACGCTGTGTTCTGGCACGTGCACCTCCTCATGGGTGAGGATTGCCATTCTAATTGCCCTCAGCCTCCATTGCCCCTCCCCGCATGCCCAGATCCTGGGCTGCGACTGGCGCTGACTGGCGCGCTGGTGGGACTCCTGCAGCTCATGGTGCAGGGACTGGAGACGGGCGATGGCTGCCAGACGCTGGAAGCGGATGCTGCGCTGTCCAGCACTCCGACGCTGATGGCCGGGCTCAGCGCCAACCAGCGGGCCGCGCTGATGTACCGCATGGAGCAAAAGTCGCTGGCGAGGGACTGGCTGGCACACGCCAAGAGCCTCCGGGCGATGGCCATGGAGGAGCTGCGCGCTCAAGGGGCGGGGTGACGGGCACGCCCGGCAATGTCCCGGCCCTGCCTGCTCCCGCTGGGTGTCGCGACCCCAGATCAATCAATGCAATGTATTCCTTCTACCAGATCAAAATTATCGTCAGTGCTGGGCTAGGCATCTGCCGAATGTTCAGGCCATATGATCCATCGCATCCCGACCCCGTGATACGGAAAAGGGGGGAAGAGTGGCGGAGATCACAGAACCTTCGCTCCGTCTCGGATGCGACTTCAGGAGGTACCACAATCAGCGGACGTAAGGATAGTATAACCTAGCCAAGATATTAATGTCGATGAATGGGGTCGAAGCCAGACAGACGGGGCCCGCTCGCTCGTCGTCCCATGGACAGTCCGACACCCACTTAATGACGACCGGGGGGATGCTCGCAAACAGCGACGCACAGCCTCGAGCACCTCGCGCATGACATTGATCCTGGACGTGGAATTCGAGCTCCAGTTCTTGGAAAAGATGTACGCCATGCTGTCCATGCTTCCTTGACACATTGTCGTTCTTGGTCCTGACGCCGGGCGGGTCTCGACGTTGCCGCGTGTCCTTCCCGTACCCACGCTCGGCGGTGGGAAACTGTGCGCGAAGCAGCGGCAGGCATTCATGACAGTGATGTACGGTTGCATTAGCGAGTGAAGGAGCAGAGATCTGAAGCATGCATGCCTCGCTAACACTGGCATGCCTATGCATGCTGGCCCTCGCAGGGCTGGGCGTCGCACGGCCGGCACGGACGCTCCTGCAGGTGTGGGAGCCACATCCTGATTGGGGGCGACTGTGCCGATCCCACATGACGATCTGCCCTTTGAACTACACCTCGAGCCCTTGCACCCATGCAGGAGGACATGGACGAGTTTGTTCGCGTGCGAGGGACACAGTTCGTGGTTGGGTGCAAGACGTGGTACGCGTCGGGCTGGAACCAGTGGGAGGCCATGGAGGCAGGAGCGGGGGCCCTGGAGCTGTTTGGCGCCTCCCTCCCCAATAAAACCACTGGACCCCAGGTGCATGATTACTTTGGATTCAGGAACGAGGGCTGCACTCAGCCTGCTGCAGCTCAGATACCTTGGAGTATCGGAGGGTGTGTGCATGTGCCGGCCTGGCGCCAACCCATGGTGTGTTCGCTCCCTGGCACCCTTCTGCCAGGGCGTTCGGCCTGGGGAAGATCCCCATGGCATGTTCAGATGTGGGTTCCTTCTGTACATCGTTCTTTCCCCCTCGCACTCCGCTCTCAAACACCCTCTTCCCCTCCATCCCTGCTTTCCTCAGCTTGTGCGGGACGTGCTGGACCGCGCCCAGGCCAAGGGTGTGAACGTGGTGCGGGCCTGGGCCCAGGCCGTGACCCCCAACTACGCGCTGGAGACCGCCCCCGGGCAGTACAACGAGGCCGTGTTCCAGGGCCTGGACTACCTGCTGGACGAGGCGAGGCAGCGCGGCATCCGCCTCCTCCTGGTCCTGCTGGACAATTGGCAGCCGGGGGGCGCCGACACGCTGGCCAACTGGGCGGGGTCGAACGTGCACGAGGACTTCTTCAGCAACGCGGACGCCAAGCGGCTGTACCAGGCGCGGGCGGAGGCAATCGTCACGCGCGTCAATGCCATTAACGGGCGCAGCTACTCGGAGGACCCCACCATCTTCGCCTGGGACCTTATCAACGAGCCGCGGTGCTACCGCTGCGGTGCCACCACCGCCGCCTGGGCCTCGGAGATGGCGGCGTACGTGAAGTCGCTGGACGGCAACCACCTGGTGACGATCGGAGAGGAGGGGTTCTACCCGGCCGGCCAGGCGGCCTCCGCCGCCAACCCCCAGGGCCTGCAGTCCTGGGCGTTTGAGGAGGGCCAGGACTTTTATGCCGACCACAACGACCCCAACATCGACTTCACGGCCATCCACCTCTGGCCCGACAACTGGCTGGTGGGTGCTTGTGTGGCGAGGGCGCCCTGCATCAGGGCGGGAGGGGGTGGGTGGGCATAGCGGCACGAGCCTTGGCTGGCTGGGAAGCAGTACCACTGCTGGGCTTCAGGAGATCCTTTACGAGGAGCCCACGGGGGGGGAGTAGCCGCCAGCACTCCTGGTTGCAAGGGCAAAAAGGTGGGAGGCTACATGGCATCCATGATCTCCAGGAACACATATTGCGCACGTGGTGCACCAAACCAGAGGCCGCTCATGCTCATGCCCCTCCCTCTCCCTCCCATGCAGGACAAGACCACGGACTTTGTGGAGCGCTGGATCGCCCAGCACATTCAGCAGGCCGCCTCCCTGGGCAAGCCCATGCTGCTGGAGGAGTGAGTGGCAGTCGTGGGGAACCATTGCGCCATGGGCGGTGGTGGGGACGGGGCGGGGCTGGTGGAGGGAGGGTTGTGTAGTGCCACCCACGGCCCCACCACTCCACCCGCACTTGCAGGTTTGGCGTGTACCGGTCAAGTGGGGCCGACACGATGCGGGACCAGTACTACAAGCTCATCTATGACCTCATCCAAAAGGTGCTGCGAAGGGTTTGCTGGGGGTGATTGGCATGGAACCCTAGGAAAGGGGCACCAGCATACGCTTGTATTCCACACCGACAATCCTGTGCTCAAACAACTTTGCCAATGGGATCGAGCAAAGTTGATTGCCCCCCTTACCCCACCCCCCATTCCCTTGTTTGGCCCGCCTCTGCCTGCTCTCCAGCCCTGCGTTACCAACCTTCCACAGGACGCCGAGTCAGGCGGACCCTCAGGCGGCGCGCTCTTCTTCCAGTACTATGCTCCCGGCCAGCAGGCTCCCTCGGAGGAGGGTGGCGGTATCACCGGCGTCTTTGGCGTCGTGGAGGCCGACAACACCTTCCCCATCATCGACGCCTTCACCGCCAGCATGGCGCAGCTGACTGGCAAGAGCGTGAGCCAGTGCTCCGCCACGTCCGGAGTATCTGTCACCGCCGTGCGTGACTGCTCCTACACGCAAGTCAACGGGCGACCGGGCACAGGGTGAGCGGGGGATTCACTGTTGGCTGGTCTGGCAGGGGACGGCTGGGAGCGGGCATCCTAATCAGGGAGAGGTAACGGTGGTGCCATGAGGCAGCTGGCAGGGGTGGCCGGATTAATGTCCGACACCCAAGGGTAGGAAGGCCCCCGCCATCTGATGATTGTGCCATCAACCGCCTCCTTACCTGTCCAGGCGTCATGTGCGCGCCGGGACCTGCTGCAGTGCCTCGGATTGGTTTCCTTTGACGACAGTTTGTCCACATAACCACCCCCACCCCCCACTGTTGCCAGGTATGAGGGCCCCGCCTGCGACGTGGACATCAACGAGTGCGTGCGTGGCACGTCAGGCTGCGCGATCACTGGGGCCGCCTGCACCAACTCGGCGGGCGGGTACACCTGCGCATGCACGCTGGGCTACGCCGGGGACGGCTTCTCCTGCAACCCCACGCCCACCCTGGACCAGCTGCAGCTAAACTACACCACCCAGGGCGCCGCGCAGCTGGCCTGCGACGAGGGGCAGGACGTGAAGTACCCCACCGGGGTCCCGGGCTTTGCTTACGACCCGACGGGGGGCCTGTCCAGGGCGGATGGGGCCTCCGATGCCATGGTGGGGCCAAGGGGGATTTCTTTTTTGTGGGGAAGTGCGTCTTTGAGGGGTGCGGGCCACGTGCTGCATGCTGGGGAAGTGTGTGTTGGGGGGAGGTTTGATACGATCGGCGTCATGGGGCTCTCCTTGTGCCATGCTAGCAGCCACAAGGCTGGCCCTGTCCTGATAACCACGGGAGCCTTCAGCAGCCCTTGCCAGGAATTGCTTCCAGCAAGGCTGCGCACGCTCAAGCAATCAAATCTCTGACTCCACACTCACATTCCTGCCTCTTCTCAGGTGAGCTCCGGGTCTTCCATCTCGGTGCAGCCGGTGGACTGCATGGCGGCCTGCAATGAGGCGCCCGGCTGCACGGCCTTTTCCTACAATCCGTCTCTCCAAAAGTGCTTCCTGAAGACGGGGTCGTCGTACAACACCTGCCAGGTGAGGTGGCACACACTCGCAGGTCAAAAGCGTGCCCTATCTCTGGATGCATGGCTCAGCAGGCGATTTGATCTTGCAAATCCATGACTTCCATTATCAAGTAAGGTGGGGTGACATTCCAAAGTCTTGTCGCTCGTCACCACAGTTCACACCCTGCAACACGTCCATATCTCCACAGGCACAAGAGACGGTGTGCACATCTTCACGGGGGACGCAGTATTCATGCGGATTCTGGCAGTCGTACTACAGAGAGGACAGCGGGAGCGCCTCGACAGCAGTGCAGTCGGCCTCCCTTCCCTCAACGTCCCCGTCCGATTCTAGTACAGGAAATTCAGAACCAGCAGGTGCAAGCATCACATTGCTTCAGCGAGAAATCAACTCAGCAGATGGAGAACCCAGTGCATCCCCCTCAATCAGCCTGCTTCAGTCCTTTGGGTAGAATCCTGCCTCTTCTAGTGGCTGGCAATGGTATTCCCATATTCTTCCGTATTCCAAGTGTCGAACTCTAGTGTTCTGAACGGATGCTTTTCCATGTATATAACAAATCTGTAAACCCTCCCCATAGAAAAACTAACAATCTTCCCGCCCAAAACACATGCATTCAAATCAGTGTGCAAGCCCACACTGTCATGGCGGAGTCTTCGCCTTCGATCAGCCACTGAGATCGTCATTACATTACATTACATGTCGCTGTAGATCGACCTGGGCCGGAGCCCGCCCAGCCTCTGGACGTGAGATCGAGGTGAGCAAGGTGCCCGCACGTCCATTTCCTGTGCGCGGAGATGGAGGACTCACAGCGGCATGCATAGGATTTGGGAAAAGGCATAGGAGTACAAGATCAATAAAACCAGCGCTTACGTTCCTCAGCGCAGTGACCTGGTCGAATTGGTGCCTTTTCGGGATGAGCAGCTCCGACAGCGACCTGCATGGCTTGCAGGCCAGTGCCCTGGCCGTGCTGAATGACAACCCAGAGGGCGTTTTATTGGTTCTCAATGGAATGAACGAGGTAAAGTCTGGTCTAATACGGGATGAGCGAGGCTGGCGTCGACATTGCTCCCACCGCATCGTACTCATGGACAAGCTGACCATGCTGAACCCCATGCAGGCTCTCAGGAAGCAGGATCCTGTCCTTCAGAAGCTGGAAGTAGTATCCCAGCTCGCGGCCCTGTGTGACGGAAGAATCAGGTGACAACCTTGCTTTTGATTCTGCCATCAGAGACCTGTGGATGTATGGGGCATGCTCTTTGCTTACTGCTCAGTCTGATTCTCCTCCCTAGCAGACCTGACGAGCCATCTCTGGCCAAGGCAGCATCAGAAACCGCTGAGGCGGTGTGCAAGCTCCTAGGAGAAGCGGCCCTTGCGGTGTTGACAGATAAGGTAGGAGGCTCCATGCTGGTATGGAAGAAAATGGTGGTGAAGTGAGTGTCACAGTACTCCACATCAGGTCTTGCCCTCCACCTGACAGGCTGGCGAGAGCATCTGCGAGATGCTCCTCCTCATGTCTCAGCTTGGGCTGGTGGAGATGAAGGGGAAGGGTAAGTGACTTGATACAGAACATGAGAGGTTGGGAGCAGGGTATAGTTCTGGTCCAGAGATGGATTTGATGAGAGTGCTTATTGGTTGCTGTCCTCTTGAAACCCAGACTCCCATTGTTTACCTCTCAGGCGAAAAGATGGAGAGGCTGGCCCAGAGCCTGGCCCCGCACTTCATCCCAGTGTGCACAGATCTCTTCGCAAAGTCCACGTAAGTACCTGGAGGGCAAATACTCAGAGGCAGATAAATCTGTCCAACTCAATTCCTATCCTGCTCTGTGCCTATGACCTCATCCTCAGACATGTCTTTGAATGCACTCTCCCTTGATGGAAAAGCAGGACAAGCAGTGGCAGTCGCCTGCACCGCAGCATTGCTTCTACCCTGCTGGACTACGTGTTTGGTAATCGTGCGGCCATCTCTGTATTTGGAAAAGAGAAGAGCAGGCTTTCAGCCCTCTATGAGACTGCCTTGGGTGACATCAGCGACGCCTCAACGCAGGTGGATGGGACTAAGAAGGGTTGACTGCAGAAGTCCAGGCTTGTAGCAGAGTAGTGTGCCTCTTTGGTTGGGGTCGTCTCTGCTGTCTGTGGGACACCATTGGGATATCTCCTGACTCCAGATGTAAGTTAGCAGACTATAGATCATTTTCAATTGCGCTCTCTCACTCCAGCTGGACGTCCTGGAGATCATGTACCGCTGCCTCAGGGCAAATGCCAAGTGTGCTGAGGTGAGTTATGCTCATGTGTTCAGGTTTGTAAGTCTCTGGGGTGCGATTATATGACACCTCTGAGGTAATGCTCGCTGAAAACTTTCCAGCATTGTGATTCTGCTTCTGTACCTGCGTCACGACTTATCCACAGACTCTGAGTCTATATCCCCTGGACCTGCTGTGCAGGCCCTGCCGCCTGCTGTCAGATCTGCCTTCAGGGAAGTAGCGGCAAAGCCTGCACGGGAAGTCAACCTGCCAGAAGAGCTCCGATCCCTGCTGGTGTCCTGCGCAAAGTCCCTTGAACCACCAAGGAGGAGGTGGGGCCCTGGGTGTCAGGATATGGATTCAGGAAAGAACACCTTGCTTCAGTGCATGCTGAGGAGTATTCAAATACCATGCCCAGCCTGCGGCCATGCAAGACTGTCTCTGGTGGCAACGCAATGGGTCTGGCTCCTACCACCGTGCACCCCTGCAGGCTGTTCTCCTCCCAGTCGACCTCAGTGAGCTGTGGCGCCCTGACATTCAAGGATGTCTGGGTAGATTTCGGGCTGAGGCACTTCAGGTAGGAGGCCTTAGATGCTGGTGGCCATCTGCAACCGGCAGGCCATGTTCAAATGATTGCCGAGGTTTGCATGCATGCCCTCCAGGTGCCATACTTGAAGTCCAGAACAGGAAGTTTCGTGCACCGCCAATAACAGCACCCACCTTCAAGTCCCATCCTGCCAAGGCCGACGAGGAAACCCCTGACCTTTACTCGCAGCATGTCGATTCCAGCCAAGCCGGAGGAGGATGGCTTGACCGCGATGGTTGACATTCTGGACATCCCCTATGGTGAGAGAGGCGAATCTGTTGGTGTTGAGCCTGTCGTTTGCAGGGCAGCGACGTCATTCTATCAGGTCAAGTCAGCCAGTTCCTTGCCAGCTTGGTGATGCCCATGCACGGAATGTTTCCCCTCTTTCCCATCCCATCGGCCCTGCTCCACAACCCCTTCGCCCCCGCGTCGCACCATGCAGAGGATGTTGCCTCGTTGAGCTGGGTGCTTGCAGATCGCCAGCCCCCTGTGCAGGCAGCTGCAGCTGACTTGAGGGTGGACCTCAAGAGGTTGCCCCAGGACTTGGAAAGTCTTCTGAAGTTTGGGAACGAGGATTCCAGGTGATATGGCTTGCCAGTACCCAGACGTAGCATGAATTCCTGTTGGGGTATGGGCTGGATCACGACCTTGTTTGACAAATAATGTACAAGGAAATGAGGCTAGAATCCCCGGCCCTGTACTGGGGAAGGTTGTCGTGGCACAATAGTGTGTGTGGACATTACTGTTGAGCAGTCCCTCATCAACTTCATGATGCCGACCGGTCATGCAGGCACCGCCTCCCAACCTTGTGCCTGGGGCTTGCCAAGGACTTCCACCAACGTATCCGGGAGGATGCTCCGGCTGTGGCTGACGCCCTGGCTACATCCGGGCTCCTTCCCACGGAGGCAAGCAGTGGGCGATGCTACTGTGCCCTGCAGGCGCTGACGCAAGGCACACCACCATGGCCCCACCCCCATGAACCCTCCCCTCCTCCGCGATGCAGGCATGCGCCCCCATTCGGACGCCCCTGCCGGATGTGTCACAGGGACCGCGCAAGGTCTCATGGTGGGTGCCACGCAGGGTGTGGGCCAGCCGTCACGTGCCCTGTGCCGCACTGATGCCTGGACAGTCAGGACCTGGGCTCTGCACTCATGTCTGACCAAGCCACCCTGCCTCCCCCGGCCTCCCATTCCAGGGGGACTTCTGTGTACAGGGCGCTGCCCCTCCGCCCCTCCCCCCACGCCGGCAGTGTGGCGGGCATGCCCTCAGGCCTGGGCGAGGCTCCGGCGCCGTGCCCGGCCAGCCCCGGGCGGGCGCGGCAGACGACCCAGCATGGAACCCACGCCGGGAGTGGGGGAGCATCCCGCACCCAGAGCACTGCCTGCTGCCCCCCCAGCCAGGATGAGGGAGTGGATGCCCTGGGGGAGGAGGGAGAGGGGGTGCAGGAGCCAGGTGCGCGGGACACTGGATCGAGCAGGACTCAATGTCGGGGCCAGTACCGTAGGAGCTGGGCGAGGGAATCATCGCAGACCCTTTTGCAGGGCCCCTGGGAGCAAGGCATGGACGAGCAGGCAGATCCTACTGGAAGATGCTTTCACAGGTCGCGGGAGCAATCACCTGGCCATCCCTCACCTCACCCCCACAGCAGCCCCGGGGAACCCCCCTCACCTCGGCCTGAAGCCCATCCTGGAGGAGGACAGAGGTGAGGGGTGCAGGAGTCATTGCCTATTGGATGCAGCCGGGATGCTGGTCTTGATTAGCTGCCAGCAAGGTCTCGTGGGTGTGGCCTGTCATGGGTGAAGCTTGAGTGGTGATCGAGGTGCCAACAGCATCTCCCTGCCCTCTGCAGATGCCAGCCTCAAGGCCGCCAGCATCTTCACCACTGCGGAGGCCCCAAAGGTGACTTGGTGGGGCACGTTTCCCACTTATGGTTAGACCTGCCCATGCAGTGCATGTCCAATGGTTTCAAGCATGCATGGTCTTGACTGCACACGGAAACAGCTGTGGCCGGCGACGAAGGGGCTGCACCCCCCACTCCAACACACTTGCACAGAAGGAGGCGCGTGAGCCCACCTCGAAGTTGGCGCCCAGGTCCCGGGGGAAGTCACAGGTGAGCATTCCTTGTTGTAGTGGCATTGACTAGCATGCGACCCCAATGAGCTACGCCTCTGACAGCGCCATGGCGATTGATGCAGGGTGAGATTGTCGATCCAAGCCCAGAGCCAGAGTCCAGGCTGCCCCAGGGTGAGCCGGGCCGCCATGGCATGCACATGGCACAGACGTTTGGACTGAGCATGCTGGTGGTGATCAGGAGAACTGCTCCCCCCAGCTATGATCCCAACTGCACACAGGGACACCCTGTGTTTCCTTCACTTTTCCTGCAGGATGCGTGCTTCGTGCCAAGCCCACAACCTGTCTCAGCAAGGGAAGGCCAGATGCACCTAGGCCCTGCACCTACGACTTTCTACCTTCTGCCCTTGCCGGAGCAGATGTGCCAGTACGCCCGGTGAGTGCATTCAAAGGGAACCAATGTCTTCCTTCCTTCTGCTGCCTCTCGCACTCCAGCAACACTGAATCTGAGATGTGTGCGTGATCCGGTCCTCCCCACTTTTCACCAACGAGAATATGTTCCTGCAAAGCAGGGATCCCCTCCACCTGCTGGCGGAGCGGTCGATGCTGGCATCCAGATGGTCAGAGACCCGCCGGCTGCACGCCGCACGGCGCTGACACCCCTGGCAGCCATGAAGCGATCGACCCCTCCCAAGGAGGGCCAGCAGAAGCACGGGGAGAAGAGGAACCACAGATCGCACCCCACCGCGATCGACGATCGGGAGCGTCCAGCGAAGAAACCATGCCAGGAAGGGGTGCGGGCCCCGGCCAAGAGGGTGAAGAGCAGGGCGCCGTCCAAAACCGCAGACAAACCCCTGAAGCAAGTGCTTGGCGGTGGAAAGAGGGGAAGGAGCATTGCCGCCGCTGCTGACACCCCTCGAGAGCTGGTGCGATGCAGTGGCACCTGGCGTTGGGTCATGGTATGGGATGCGTGGTTGTTTTAATGTGCCCTCTGGACAAGCACCTCGCTGCAGAGGGGATGTGGGTGCCAAATTGGAGGTGCCACCCATCAACGAAGTCCCTTCCCCATGCTCCAGGCTGCTGCGGTCACCCGGCGCCAGCCCGCTCGAGCCAGCAAAATCACTGCGGTCCAGCGCAAAGCCAGGGTGAGCATGGCCTGCATTCACCTGGGGGAGACATACTTGCGGTGTTGTGCGTGCGTCTGTCAAGGCTATTTACCCATGGTTGACTTTCTTATCAAATCACCAGTGTCTAAAATCACGAAACGCTCATGCCTTGCATCCCTTGTTGACTCTCCTGTTCTGCCCTGATGTGCGTGCTCCCTGCCCCAGACGGCGGACTCTGACCAGGAATCAGCGAGCGAGGGACGCGGGACCCCTGAGGATGCTTTAGCAAAAAAGCCACGGCCTGCGGCGCCCGTCTCCTCTGCACCCCCCATACCAGCCACGTCGGCCTTGGCGCGCCAGGTCAAGCCAGCTGGCAAGCAGGCGCAGCCGCAAAATGCAGGTAAGGTGTGCAGAGAAGAAGGCCAAGTGGCAGCTGACACTTGTGGCCCAGAAGAAAGCTGGGCCTGCTGGCACCCCTGAGCAGCGCCCTGCCCCGTCCAATGCCTTGCTCCATTTGTGCAGGCACCACAAACCCTATCACGCCCACGCTCATCACCCCAGCGCTCAGGACCGCCGATGAGCCCCCAGGTGAGGGTGGGTGCGGGTGGTGCGGGGGCCACCCCACAGGCTGGGCCTGGCGCGCATGCGATCGGTGCACACCCCACCGCCCACCATTCCCTGACCGACCCTGAAACCACAACCCCACACGCCCAGGGCCAGGCACGGTGCCCCTTCCTGGGTCAATTGCCGCCGTGCGAGGGCGGGTGCCTGTCCCCCGAGTCGATGCCCCGATCGCAACGGCCGTCCCGCCCGCCCGGCCCTCGCCTCCCAGGGGCACGCCCGCAGCGCCGCACGCGCCCACGGCCAGGATCGGCGCAGGCACCGGATCGCGGCGCCATGGCCCCACGCCGCCCCTGCCGTCCGCACTGGGCGTCCAGCCGCTGCCGGCGCCCATCGTCCTGAGCCCGGTGCGGAAGCTGCGCTTCACGCCCTCCAAGCGCGACCTGCGCTGGGAGCTGAGCTCGGACGGGGAGGACGGGGGCGAGGAGTCTGAGGCCGAGCAGGAGGGCGAGGGGGAGCTGGGCCTGGCGGCCCTCATGCGTCAGGCCCTGTGTGTGAAGAAGGCAAGGCGCAGGGCGTCCATCGCCAGCAGCCAGTCCTCCGAGGGCCAGGGGGACAGGTGGGCGCCACTGGAGGATTTCGAGTGTGGCCGAGTGTTTGTGGTGGAGGGGGGCCCCTTGGGCTTCCACTGGTGTGGTGAGGATGTGAGGGATGGCTGGGGCCGGAGGTGCGGCACGCGGAGATGTGTGAGCCCTCATGCACCGGCGAGCACCCCTGCACCCCCCTCCTGACCACAGCGAGACCGAGGAGGCAGGGATGGCCCAGCTCCAGGCGGCGCTCATGGGCATCCTGCGCCGCCGCAAGGCTGGCGCGGCGAAGAAGCGGGCGGCGCTGCTCGAGGCCCTGGAACAGGACACCGCCGAGAGGCTGTCGTCGCTCCAGGCGCAGGCCGCCGAGGAGCGGCGGGGCCTGGAGGCGCAGGCGCAGCGTGCGCTGCACGAGCTGACCGGCAGGATGGAGGCCAAGGTGAGGGTCTGCCGTGCCCCGCCGGCGCAAGCCCTACCTCGGGACTCGCCCCGTGGGGCCCCGCTGCACAGGCCCATCCCTCGCCCATCCCACAGTACCAAGAGCTGGTCGCCGCGCATGAGCAGTACGTGGCAGCCGGCCGGCGGATGTGGGAAGAGTACCAGCACCTGCACGACCAGGCCAGCACGGTGAACGAGGAGGCCAGCGCTGCGCTGGCACGGCAGGAGGAAAGCACGGCGCGCCGCCTGACCGAGCTGAAGGCCTGGACCCAGCAGCAGCAGGCGGCCGCGCGCAGGCAAAGGAGGGGTGTGGGTCAAGGAAGGGCGTGTCCGGCGAGCGTGCATGGGTTGGGTGCCCGTCATTCATGGGAGCCTGAGTCGGGGGGGAGGGGCTGCTCCACCCGCATGCAGCCCCGAAGCGGGAGCAGCTCCGGCGCGGGCGCATGACCCTGCCTTCCCGTCCCGCCCCTGAGCTGCAGGAAGATAGCAAAGGCCAGGAAGCAGGCTGCCAAGCTGCCGCAGCTGGCAAGCATGCTCCTGCCCTTCATGTGAACTGGAGGCTGCTCCAACGGCATGCTTCGTGCCGAGCACACACTGAGCAACATCGAGCCGTGATGATCCAGCAGCACTGCATCAAACCTCGAGGGCTCCTGTCATCCAGCCACCCGTCATCATCTGGCCCGTTCCATGCCAGAACCCAAAACCCTAGAACCCCCACCACCATGCATGTGGCATGGGAAAAGCGACCCTTCTGCCGCTGCAATAGCCATGATCCAGTGAACCGTGCTTTGGAAATCAACCCTAAGACATGTAGCGAAAAGGCGACATTGCCCGTATCATGCTCACTCGGCCAGTGTAGCCTCGGCTTCCCCGCACACTTCCTCCCAAGGGAGCTGGTTGCTCGCTGCCTGCTCAAGGAGCTTTGTCCCCGGTCCCAGGTCTGCATCAACCCTGAGCAGGGCCTCCAGTGTCAGGGGGCCCCCACCGCCCCGAGCCGCGCACTCAAAGCAGGGCCAAGGGGGCGGCGGCGCACTCCAGCCCCCGGACTCGCTCCTCATGTGCGAGCGGTCAGACTCAAAGCGAGAGGTGAGTGCCTGACCTGACACCATGCGGAACACCCTGCGGACAACCAGGTGCCGGAGGTGGGCTTCAGGGTTGGAGCGCCAGCAACACCAATGGAGGCCCATAGAGGATTGATGCCAGGTCTCGGCTTCCATGGTGCGAGCTGCAGTGCAATGCATAGACGCCTTGAGGGATATGCATTGGGTCTCACCTGGGTGCAAACCTTGCCACCTCTGCCTCGCTGGGGAAGAGGGCTGCCGAGCGGTATGCATGCCATGAGCAGGGCAGAAGTAGGGTGCTGCAGCACAGGGAGGACAATAAATTGCGTTACGATTCTTTCAGGGAGTGTCATGATTGCACATATGAATTGGTATCCCGCCTCTGTATGCCAGCATGGGGCTGTCTACCAGTGCCGTGCCCCCCTTCAGCAGCTATCAATACTTGCCCTCCCAACCAGGACGTCCACACAGCAGCCCACCTGTCCATGTCCCACACGAGGCAGTCTCCCTCCTGCTGGCGATGCAGGGCCACCACGTGGTAGTCCCACAACACGAGCCCGTTTGCATGCTGGCTTGCTGCTTGACGCCACACAGGAGTCAGGCGGGTGTGGCTGGTGATGAAGAGGGCGGCCAGGTCCCGCCAGGGGACGTTGTGGCTGTCGTGGAGCTGATTCAAGAGCATACATACATTCTCTTCACAGTAACAAGGAGTGTGAAGTGGGTGGACCTCCATGGGTTATTGTGCCCTGGTGCCATGAGATGGCAGGACGGCCCTTCCTTGTGTATATGGGTGATTTGATGCCGTATACAGCGCCACGGGAGCAATGACCCTCTTATGACCCTGCAAGCTGATGCATGGTCATTTTCATTGTTGGCGGGTCCTTTTACAATTGACGTTGATACCTCGGTCGTGATGTCCAGGTCGCTCAAGTTCATCGTTGACAGAAGTAATCGCGGTACCCTTCCCGGTACCCATACTTCGCAAACACCAGCGAGCCCATCCCTTCCCCCATGCGAAGGGCAGGTAAACGCAACAGAGGAAAAACATAACATAAAACTGTAGTGCATTGCATTGACAGTGTGGTCTGGTCTGGAAACCGGCTGAGCAAGCGAGACCTCTCGTCGACTGGCTGGTCGGGGGCCTTATTGCTCTGGAATAGACGCGACACCCACCTGGCGCAGCTCCGAGCCGTGCAAGCATGGGAGAGAAGGGAAAGGGGAATCCGCCGCGGGTGAACCCCAAGAAATTTACCGTCAAGTCGGGCCAGTGCTTCGAAGAGCTGGGCGCCTACCTGGCGTGCATAGCGGTGAGCAGTGGGGTTTGGGAGTGCAGGACAGGATTCGAAACGACGAATGCTGGTACATGGGTCCTTGGGCACATCTATCAGGGGCTTTCAGGAATGGAGTGCCCGTACGTCACTGATTCTCAGAGTTATTTGGAGAGTTACATGATGAACAGACTCGCATCGACGGATTTGCATGTGGAACCCACATCACCATCCCACCTTGCACCTGCTGGACATGTGTGCAGTCATCTGGCGGAGAAACGGACGAGAGGTGTGCCCCTGCACGACGAGCCATGATGCTTTGTGCGGCGACCTCGGTGAGTGACCTCGTGGGCATGCACGCAGGAGTAGATGCCATGCACATCGAGCTCGCCATCTTCAGTGCAGTTCCAGTGGAAGTTGGAGGGCAGATCCAACCAAAGTGCACTGATGCCCTCATTCTCCCACAGGCAAACAAGAATAAGGGTTTGAGTAGTGTGAACTATCATCTGCAGGTGAGGATGGGGGTTCTGCCCAAACATCTCAGGCACTCATCACCCATTAGAATCCGGAAATGCTCTCATCGAGGTACCAATTGAATATGACAAAAGTTCCTCGTCCCCTTGATGCAGAGGATATCGCGGCTGATGCGGTAGCAATACGATGGATCAGCTGTCCACGGGAAGATCTCTCGCAAATGAACTCCGGAAGCCATCAAGCCTCAATCATTGATTCGAAGCCTCCGGTATTTTGTAAACAGTGTCGTTTGAGTGTTTGGCAGGGACTGCTCATGCAGAATGTTCGGATAGATAGTCCGGGCAACTTCGGTCCCTCGCGGAGCCGGGCGATCTCAGATTCGCTGTTGCCTCTGGCAGCGCAACCTGCCCTCCAATTCGAGCCGTGCAAAGGCGACCTGCCTTCCAGCCACCTCCCGGCGCATCGCCTCTGCCCCTCGAAGACTCAAATATGTCCTGAGGCTGAGCAAGATGTTGAATTTGAGTTTCTGAAGCTGCTTCCGCACTGCTACAAAGCAGTTGGCCACTGCCTCCACGCTTTCTTCTGGTGCGCCAGCCGCGCCGAGGTGTTGCGACCATCTCATCTCCCTGGATCTCGTGTCCGCGCAACGTTTGCGCAGACTTGCTTCGCACGCGGAGGCGGCCACCAAGCCCTTGTCGGTCGATACACCCAAACTTTTCTACTTTCGCGCCTCGCAGCGGCGTCTCATGTGGCGCGCACCTCCTCGCCAGGCCGACAGCCCTCTGGGCTACGCGGGCTCGAGGGGCGCCAAGCAGGCCGACATCGACCATCTAAAGCCACTTCTTCAGGCTTTGCAGCAATGGAATGGATTGTCCGCGGGCCCCGGCCTCGATGCACACTTTCCGGGGTCACCTTCCCACCCTGCCGGAGCTGTGTTCCCAGGGTCGTCTGCACGACGGGTCGGACCCCCGGAGCTTCTCGACCTGCAGGAGCTCCCGGCCCTGATCAAGGCGCATCTGGATGTGGAGCGTTCCATGGACGCGGGCCTCCGTCCCGTCACCGCGGATGTCGTGGGCAAATGCGCGCAGGCGGTATCCCTCTGGGCCCAGGTGCGTGCGCTAGGGTTGTGCCAGCTCCGGCTGCGAGGCGAGCCGCCCGGAAATCCTGCCCACCCCGGCTCCCATGTGCCTGCCTGGGTTCATACCGTGCCATTCGTGCCCCGCCATGCCCGGCATGCCCTCCACCCCGCCCACTCGATTGTCTCACCCCCAATCGCTTGGCCCCCCCCCCCCACCACACAGCTCCAGATGCTGGCGCGGCAGGGCCTCATGCATGCCCTGGCCAACAGCGAGGCGGCCATGCCCGGCCTGGCCCAGGCCCTCATCTCCAGCCTGGACATCACCATGCCTGGGGCCAAGGAGCGCGCCCCCCCCCGCGCCCCCCAGTTGGCCCCGGCCCCGCCCGCCCCGGCGCCGCCGGAGGCGACTGACCCGGCCCAGCTGCTGGAGCTGCTCCTCCGCCGCGGCCACGGCATCCTTCCCGCCAGCCCGGTGCGCCCGCACCCGGGCCCCATCGCCCACCCGTCCCACGCCAAGCCTCACGCCGGCCCGGCCATCGTGTCGCTGGGCCAGGACGCCGGCCGCAAGCGCGCGCGGCGCAGCGAGGGCTCCCGCACCTGCTCCAACTGCGGCGTGACCGTCACGCCCTTCTGGCGCAAGAGTCGGGCCAGCGGGCTGCCCCTGTGCAACGCCTGCGGCCTCTACTCGGCCAAGAACGGCGATGCGCACCGGCCGCCCAAGCTGTGGCGCGAGGGACAGCCGGTGCCGCCCGGGGTCGGCGACGACGCGCGCGGCTCGCCCGCCGCCGTCGTGGGCGCGCAGGACGGGCGCGGCGCCTTCCACTCCACCGCGCGCGCGCCGGCGCCGTCCGACCCCGATGCGGCGAGCCCGCCGGGGTCGTCCTGCGCCAGCCCCCGCGGCCCCGATCCCCGACCCACGGCGGCGGAGGAGGGCTGCTCGGAGGCCGGCAAGTCCGCCTCCAGCAGCCTGTGCACCCAGGAGACGGAGGTGGCGCCGCGGGCCAGTGCGCTGGACGGCCTGGTGGCGGCGCTGATGGGGCCCATCCCTGTGGCGGCCCCGTGCTGAGTCTGTGCGTCGCGGAGCAGCCCGAGGCAGGCGGGCTTGCACTCTGCCCTGCCGCTCCGAGGCAGTCGCATGCTAGGTATCGTAATCGCAGGAGGGGCCTAGCAGTGCGAGGCCTTCATCCCCAGCAAACCCCATTCCTCATCAAGCACCTGCACCCCATTGCCCGCCGCTATTTTTGGGCTCCCCCTCTTGACCAGCCCGCAAGGTCTGGACCTGGGCGCTTTGTTGCAGCTTGGTACAGCCCCTACTACTCACCCATCACCCCTGGAGTGGAGCACGCGCCTTCCTATCCCTCCTTTTTGAGATCATGCCCCCCGCCCCTTTTCCTGATGAAGAATCCTGATTTGCACGGCTGTCTGCATCAATATGTACGCTTCCATACTCCTCCTTCAAAAGTTTTGTTACTGCTCCACACAGCCTGCCAGGGTACAGCGTGGGGTCCAGGGGGTTGCGGCGCTGCTGGAGAGGTGCAGAGAGGTGCAGGTGGGAAGCACGGACCTTGGAGCAGGGTGCAGGGGAGCAGTGGTCAAGCACAGCGCGGTGGTCATCGGGCCCGAGACCCCCCTGTCCTGGACAGGGCGATGGCGGCCTTGTAGGCCGGGGCGGTGGGCGGCTGGACCGGCTGCAGTGGGGTGTACCCCGCTGCACCCTGGCTGGGGAGGTCGTAGGACCGGTCGGCGTCCCAGCCAGACAGGTCCCCGCACGCCATGAAGGGCACCAGCTGCCGTACCGCCAAGCTGCGCATGGCGGGTGTGATATGGGAGGATGTGATATGGTGAGGGGTTCCAGGGAGTGGGCCCGAGCATGGTTGGAGCTGCGGTCGTCCAGAACACACTTTGTTGAGTGGAGTCATCAATGGCGCACCTCCCTGAGACCGCCGTTCCCCCGGCCTCACCTGTCCCCGGCCGCCTCGTACTCGGCCGCTCCCGCCTCCAGCAGCGCCTGGAGGCAGGTGGGGTCAAACCCCGGGGGCGGCGCGAAGTCGCGGCACACCACAAACGCCTCTGTTGTGTGCGAACGAATTAATTGGGGGTGGATGCAGGGGTGTTAAGAATGGTCTGCGCACACAGGCAGGGCTGGGCCGCTGGGGTTTGCAGTCCACCATGTCATGCTCCCCTTCAGGGCGTGGGCGCACCCACCCGGCCGTGTCGCCCCGCATGTGCCGCCCTGACCCCTCGCCCCTCCCACCCCGTCCCCCCCCAACACCACCAGCCCGCGCCACCCACCGATGCTGGAGTTTCGGGAGCTGCGCGGCTTGGCCACCTCCACGCCCCGGAACAGGCACCGCAGCTGCGCGGTGAGCAGGGCTGCGTCCCGCCCGCGGAAGATCTTGGCCACGAAGCCGCCGCCGGGCTGCAGCACCGCGGCGGCGATGGCCAGCGCGGCCAGCAGCAGCTGCTCCTGCACGTACTCGTCCAGGTCGTGCAGGCCCGTGACGTCGGGCGCGCCGTCGCAGACCACCAGCTGTGCTGGTCGGCCCTCGAAGGCGGCCACCACGCCGGCCGCCGTGGCCGCCGAGGTGATGTCGCCCTGGAGCTGCGTGACCCCGGCAATGGGGGCCATGGGCTGCAGGTCGATGGCCACGATCACGGGGGGGGGTGTGGAGCCGGCCCTGGTGGGTGCATGGGGTGTGGGGGTGAGGGTAAGGGTGGAGGGGTCGAGGTGTAGAGAGGGGGGTGGCTTGGAACGCTGCCGGGTTGAGGACTCAGTTTTGAGGGGAGCGGCCATAAAGATTGCTCCGTCTGCACAGGAAGGCATCCCTAGGGGGCCAGGGCCCTCAGTTTGAGCATGGTCTGCAGGTCGTTCTCATCAAATAAGACCAAGGACTCACTTGACGGCGGGGAGGTAGAGCCTCCGGCTCAGCACCTGACTCCAGCTCCCTGGGGCCGCACAGAGATCAACCACGCGGTCCACGCCTGTGGATCGCAGCAATGGTGACACATTGTAGGTTCAGCCACCAGGGATGGGAGGCGCCCCCAGATCTTCCCTGGGAATGCAGCGCAGGCCCTTCCCAGTAGTGCCGGCCACTACTTGAGAACGCCTGCCGCACCATCCAGAAAGTGGTAGACGTCGTCCAGCTGCAGGAGCTTGTAGGCGCTACGTGCTCGCCACCCCTCCTCCTTGGCCTTGCGGTAGTAGATGTCGCGCTTGTCCTTGGACGCCTTGCCCATGGTCAGGGCGCGCAGAGCAAGGGGGAGACCTGATAGATGCTCCAAGCCGAGGTGCACCTATATTCCAACCATTAAGTACGACTCTTTTAGTTTCAAATAATCCACTTCATCAAAATTCCAGCGTGCAACCATTGCATGCTGGACATTTTGCACTCCGGGCTCGGTAGGGTACATTTGGGCGCGAGGTCGACATCAGCAACATGAGTTGGGGCATGGGGCACCGAGCGATGGTGAAGCTCACATGCGCAAGAATTTGGGAATTTATCGGTAGCTATATTCTTTCTAGTCCTTACCCCATAGGCTTGCATTCGTTTGTACCTCCCTGAGCCCTTACTTACCTGGGGCGTCCGGCTGGTGGACCGTGTATTTGCGAGCTCTGTAGAACGTGCGACTGACACATTCCCGCGACCCATCGGAGGTCAAGGGGAGATCGTCTACTTGTGGTCGAAGGCACAATGGCTCCAATGGAGGAGCTCTCCTTCGAGGACTTTCCTGGCACGACACTCAGGGTTTGGCTGTTCACCAATGTCACAAACAGCAAGTGAGATGCTGACAGGAGGCGACGTGAAGGCACGCACTGTCAAAATCCAATCCAACACCTGCATGCCACCCATGCACGGCTCAGGGACGTCCAGGCGGCCATGGTGGAAGGCACACTCGAGTACGAAGCCGCCATCATGAATGCAGCCGTCGTGCCTTCCCTGTTTGCGGTGCACCTCGCCGCGCATCACGCCTTGCTTTCTAAGCAGCGGGGGAGTCTTCGGACCAGGTCCTTGCACTCTGAGCTGGTGTGCAACCTGTCAGGCTCCAAGCACGTGAGTCCTGCACTGGGGGAGGGGAGGGTTGGGTTCTCAGTGCGTGTATGCATATGTAATTCGCTTTCAGGGCTGATGGGGGAGCGTGCAAACCGCAGCGCTCACGGCTGTGTTGGGGCTGCAGCGTCAGACAGCAGCTCATATCGGCATTATGCATGCCCCATCCCCAGATTGCAGAGTCTCTCCAGCGGTTTGGTGTGACGGAGGCCTCCCAGCATCTCCTGGTTGCCATTTTCGATGCTAGGATCGGCATTGAGGACCAACTCATGTCGCTGGTACAAGGAGAATGCCAGCACAGCAAGGAGGCTCTTGGTAGCATAACAGACATGGGCCTGCTCAAAAAGGTGCGGCGGTATTTGCCAATCAGTGACTGGGCTCGGTTGAGAAATGTGTGGGATTGCTGTTTGTCAGACTTACGCCACATTTCCTGCTTGCTGCCACCTCTCCTGGCTGTGTCACATCAAGGTCTGGACTGGCATTCCCAGACACAAACCTCCTCCTACCCTCCTGTAGTATTTCAAGTGTTCAGATACCGAGTTGGCAATGAGTAGCCTGGAAGACATCATCACCTGCCAGATGGCTGCCAGGGATCTCTGATGGTCAGCAAACTGAGCAGTGGCCTAGCCAGCCCACTTGCTCTCATTTCACATTCACCCATTTCCTTTGACTGCTTGTGCCTCACGGAACTGCAACAAAGTCTTGAAGCAGGCTCACATTACATCTCAAGGGTGATTGGATGAGGCAACTTGGACGTTACTTGTCGTCCAAGTCTGCGAGGTGTGTTTGGTGGAAGCTTTTTCGTACTGAAGGCTCACTGAAGGGTTTCCGCAGCGCAGCGACGTCGTGCTTGGCCAGTCAAGAGGCAGGAACGCGAGAATTTCGGAGCATAGATTATTGCTCCTCCAAATGTCCAAGATTATAACGGCTTCACAGGTCACTCGTGATTGGGAATCACAGGTCGTCCAGGCAGGAGGGACCGCGACCAAAACATGCGTGGCTTGCTACAGGCCGTGCGACGATGCCTGCAGCGCGGCGCATTGGGAGAATCACAGCCCTTGAACTCTTTGAAAGAAGCTCAGGGTGTCTTTCAGTGGCCACGAAGGTTAGATGCAGTTCAGGGCTCCGGTCCCTGGCGGCAGAGGCCCAGGTCCGGTGATCGCGGGTTTGCCTCCTTCCTGCAGTTCCCTGCCCGGCCAGGCCGCCGGGATCTGGACCCAGATCGAGTGATGTACGGCCTCCTCGCCGCAAATGTGGGGGGATGGGTGCTGTGGCGCACCAACCCAGCATTCATGAGGTGCGTCGGGCGCTGTGGGCCCCCGGTGAGAACCCTGAATGTTGTGGGCTGGCCCACAGGGGAGCACCGTGAGCTGCTCAGGACACCCATGCCGCTCACCTGGCTCCACCTCCTCTCTTCTCACACGCCGCAGCAAGAATGCGATGGTGTCCATTCCACACCTGAAGCGCGGGAGGGTTTGGACCCTGCTGACCCACAGCTTCAGCCACAGGGACACCTGGCACCTGGCCTCCAACGGCCTGGGACTCTATGGCTTTGGGCTGGTGAGTCCTCGCGCAGTGCCTGTGTGCCAAGTGTGCTGGCCAGATCTCCTGCTGATGGCTGCCTACTCTCATGACCACCTTTGGGTCTCATGGTCCCATGTGGCCCCTCTCCCCACAGACCCTCGGCCGCCTCTTTGGAGGCAGGAAGGTGCGGGGACCTTTGTTGAGTCACAACAGCTCCTGGCTCCATATGTAGGGACACCAGGCTTCCCAGATGTACATTGCTCGACTCTTGCCTGCCCTGTCCAGCTCCCATAAGCTCTGCTGCTCGCTGCACACAGCGTCCACCCTACACCACCCACCCCCTCCCCCGGACCCAGTTGGCCATGATCTACGCCGGCTGCGCCCTGGGCGGAGGCCTGGGACACTGCCTGTCCCAGGCCGCCGGGCCTCTGTGGGCGCGGCGGGATGCCTGGGGCCGGCTGCCGCTGGGCACGGGGCAGGTTCCCGCCCTGGGCGCCAGCGGTGTGGTGGCGGGCATGCTGGCCATGACCGTGTACCTGGCGCCCTCGCAGAAGGTCCTGCTGTACGGTGAGGAGGGGGGGTGTGGCATGTTGTCGACCAGCAAGGACTGCATGTTGCCAGGCATTTGGAGGAGCCGTCTGCCTCGGCCATGTCTGGCTCTGAGAATGATTGGAGCAGCAGGGACCAGCTTGCACCTATGCCCTGAATTTCAGGCTTGCAGGCATGCCCGCACTCCACCAATCCACACCCTCTCTGAGTATACCCTCCCCTTTCAGGCATCATCCCTCTGCCAATGTACGCCTTTGGCCTGCTCTGGGCCGGACTGGACCTGCTGACGCTGCGGAATCCGGGCAGCAACGTGTCGGTAGGAGGCCATGCAGGCGGCGCTCTGGCGGGGCTGGCCTTCCTCCTGGCCTACCGACGCGGCAGGTTCCCCATGCGCTGGGGCTGGTGAGCAGGCGCCCGGGCTGCGCTCTGGCCTTGTTTGCCCGATGAATTGTAACCAACAATGACTGAATAGCAGCGAAGAAGCCATCAAAGCATTCTGCTCCAAGTACAGCAGGTCATGCATGACAATCGCATGGCATGACCTGCCAGGTGGCATGTAAGGCCACGAGATGGGCCCTGGCGGCAGAGCCCTTGGTGCCCATGCTCCCGTGCATGGTATAGCATCACGCTTGCACTCCAGCATCCGTGAGCAGCATGCATGGGGCGCCAGCATGGGAGGGAGCCTGCATCGAGCCTGCTGGCGAGATCAGCGGAACCGCCTGCCGCCTGGCCCCAGGATGTCAGGAGGGGGCCTGATGCACCCCTCTCCCCAAGGGTCTTGCGGCTGTCCAGGTTGGAAGGAGTCTCACATCCTCCTGCCTGCAGGAACCCACGTTGTCGCTGCGCCGCTGCTGTCTTCCCTGTGACGCGCCCTCACTGCCATTCCTGCCTGCCGCAGAGGGTGAGCTGCTACAGGACCGGCAGGCACCCTGGCTTCGTATCGCTCGAGCCCCCTGCCCCATTGATCATCCACCGTCTGGACCTCCTGCAGCCGCCAGCCTCAGCGTCATCCAAACATCCTGCAGCCGCCAGCCTCAGCGCCAGCCTCACCGCCGCCTGGCCCTCCCGCCGCCGGCCTGGGGGAGGTTCCCTGTCTTGGAGGTGACGACTGGCCCTGGTCCCCCCCGCTCCAGGCAGGCGAGCGCAAAGTCGGACACCGCCGCGGCGTACTCGTCCGGGAAGCGGCGGTAGTGCTGCACGTGACCGGACCCATGGAACTTGACCACCCGCGTGAGGATGTCGGAGTGTGCGACGTCCCTCAGGATCTGCGTCTCCACGTCCTCGGCCGGGATGATGTCGTCCTCCTCGCTGTACGCATACATGCGCCCCACCCGGTCTGGGATGGTGCGCCAACCGCCGAGCGCCTGCACGAGGGTTCAGGCGCGGACGAGGGTTCATCGGCAGGCATCGCGGCACCGCAGCTGGGGGAGGCTGGGTGGCGCAGATGAGCTTCACTGGCAGAGCTGGCGAGGTGCCAGCGGTGGGGGAGGGGGGGTGTGAGGTTCATTTACTAAGCCTCCATGATCCCCGAGTCCCACCTCTGCAAGGAAGTCGTGGTAGGGTCCCGAGGCCAACTGCTCCACCATCCTCCGCCTGTAAAAGGCACGGAAGATCGCCAGGCTCACCGAGCTCAGCGGGTTGCCGAGCAGTGCTGCCTCCACGCCCCTGGGATGGATTGTGGCGGCCATGCACGGGCTCTTGTGGGTACACCAGCCTGCCAGGCTGAGTGGCCAGGCACTAGAAAGCTCTCTGTCAGCAGGAGTTGCCCTCCCTGCACTCACATCAGCCGTCTCCCTTGCCCTGGGGCTCGGGTCACCCTCCAGGCGCCGTCGAGAAACATGTGTGGATTCCCGCATCGCCGCCCCTCCCACTCGCCCACACTCGGCAAGCAGACCCCATCCACACCCACCTGATCCACACGTCTGGGGTGAGAGCCGAGGGCGCCGAGTCCACGATGATCCCCCTCGTGGGTGACATGATGCGCTGGAATGCGGCCAGGCCCTGGAGCTGGCGCTGGGAGAAGCGGTCGCGCGGGTGGGTGACGTGCGTGACGGGGAAGCCGGCGGCCCAGGCCAGGCGGCCCACCATGCCGCCGTAGGCAAGGTACCCCGCGTTGGACAGCGTGTGCACGAAGACGGGGGGCCGTCCAGGGCCGGGCTGCACCGCGGAGTGCGCGGCGTACGCCTCCCCCGCCAGCCCCGCCTGCTGGACCAGGCCCTGCTCGGCGCGCTCGTGGAAAGGAGGGATCACATCCCAGGTGTTGACCCGGATCATGTGGGGCTCCGCGCCCAACACCCGCCACATGTTGGCGTACTTGCTGCGTGTTTGTGGGGGAAAGGAGTGGCGCTCGGCGGCGCAGAGAGACCAGGGACTGGCGGGGGTTGCCGCACCCCTCAGGGAGGCCAGGTCATCAATGGGGGAGGGCATGGACGTGCCAATGAGTGATGACACCAGACAAAGACGAATGAAACGCGCTCCCCAGCTCACTTGAGGTGCGCCTCCCGGCATCCCAGCCAGCCATACAGGAGGACAAAGGGCTTCAGGCCTGGGAAGGGCCCCTTGGTGAGGACCTGTGCCTGCGCCATTGCCCACCGCCGACGCAGGCCTCGAGGGTGGGATGGGGCAACATTCGAGGTTGAGTGATCACGAATCTGCAGCGCTGGGTCACGGATGCGTCATCCCATATGGTCTTCATCGGGGCAGAGGCCGGGAGTCGTGCTGTGGGCCGAGGGCAGCATGCCGAAATTACGAACCGCATTTCGGGGCAGATGGGGACAAACGCGCCCAACCCGTCCTGTACCGGCGGGTTCAAGGACAGCGGATGCGATCTCGACAGCTGAGCATACATCCCATGCACGGCTCTTGCACCGAGACACCCCCCTGCACTGGTGGCTGGCGGTAGCCGGACCCCCGCGAGGTCGATCCCTCTGGGCCCGCGAGGGTGGGACATGACAGCCGCGATGTCGATCCCTGGAGCACCTCGAATGTCGATGCATGTGTTTCCCGGCGTTTGGAGGCTCTGGGCCTCCCTCCCTGCGACAGCACGCGCCTTCCTCCTGCTCACCGCGGTACAGGCCTTCCTGGCCGGCATCTTCGCCGCGACGCAGGTCGGGTTTCACTGGCGGGCCTGCGTCATGCCATGCGACTTTAACCCTAGTACGACGGCCAAATGCCCGGACCATGCACCGTCCGGGGCCACCCAGGCCCGCCCTTCACTCATGCCCTCAACCACCCCTGCTCCCCGCAGATCGGCACCTCCCTGCAGGACACCCTGCTCATCCTCGCCACCTCCCTGTCCCTGTGGTGGCTCAGCCTCGACTCCCTGCTGCGCGCCTGCGCGCACCAGCTCCCCGCCTGCGCCGTGCTGGGCACGCTGGGCGTCGCCGAGATGGTGGCTTTTGCCGTCGCCCATGGCGCCGACAGCCCGGGCCCCACCGCCGTCGCCGCGCTGTGTGCCGCGCTGCAGCTCGCCGCCCTGGCCCTGTGCCGCACCGCCTACCGCCAAGTGGGCTGGCGCTGGGCGGGCAGGATGCCGGGCGACGGCCGCCTGCGCGGCACGGAGCTGAGGAAGCGGGCGGCACTGTGCAGGTCGCGCCTGGGCGCGGCCGCCCGCTTTGATGCCGTGGTGAGGGGCTGGGTGGTGGTGTTGGAATTGCGCACGTGGCAGCCAGCCGCCGGGTTGTTTGGTGCGGGTGCACAGGGCGCTCGAGGGCAGGGCCGGTTCACGGCACTGAGGTGGCTGGAATCCATCCCAGAGACCACCTCCCCATATGAGTCTCCAACCCACCCATGACCCCCTCCACCCCCTCCACCCATCCCTCGCCAAAGGTCCTGGCCATCCTGAGCGTTGTGATGGTGACCGAGGGCGCGCCCCTGGCCGGCTCGGGCGCCGGGGTCGCGCTGCTGGTGGGCGGCGCGCTGGGCGGCGCCCTGCTGGCGGCCTGGAACGCGGCGGCCACGCTGGGCGCGCTGCGCCGCCATGCACGCCTCGCCCTGGCCGCCGACTTCGCCTTCCCGCTTTCCTACGGCCCGCCGGTGATCGGACTGGGTGTGGTGGTGGCGGGCGGGCCTGGCACTGCGGCAGGCGCCCGCCTGGCGGTGGCCTGCGTGGTCTTCCTGGCCGCGCGCGCGACGCTCTGGTGGGCCGTCAGGCTGACATGGCGCGCGACGCGTGCGCTGCGCGCCGAGGGGGTTGAGGACGCCCCGCGCGCGCCGCGCCCGCCTCCGGCCCTGCTTCCGCTGATGGACGGCGAGTGGATGGTGCGTTGAGAGGGTGTGAGGTGTGAGGTGGGGTGGGGGCCGGGAAGGGGACGAGGTGGCCTCAAGGGCCAGGAGAATCTTTTCCTTTGGTATGGGGGATGCGCCAGTCTATGGGCAAAGACCCACCACAGTGCTCGGCATCGCCACCAGAGGCCGTCGGAGCCTGGCACCAGTACATACAAGCGGCCATTGCATCTCCCTTTCGAGGTTGTCGGTCCAGCCTAATCCGCTCCATTCCCCCCTTTCCCCTAAAACTAAAATCCATTGCAGGAGAAGGAGTCGCGGCGCAGGCCCGGCCTCACCACCTCCGTCTTCATGCAGCTGTCGGAGGACGGATCGACGCTGCGCTGGGGCTGGAGCAGCAGCGTGCTGCTGTACCACGTGGAGAGCGTGCGCGCCGACGACCCGGCGCGCAGCCTCACTCTGACCTTTGCGCTGGGCGCCCCGCTGACGCTGCGCCTGGGCGGCGCGGCCGCCTACGTGGCCTGGCGGACCGGTCTGGCGGAGCTCCTGCCCCGCCTGGCCGCGCACGCCGACCTGCTCACTGGGAACGACGCCGAGGCGGGCGGCACGGGTGCGGCGGGAGGGGTCAGGGGAAGGGGTTGGGGGGGATGCCACGAGGCGCTTGGGGGGCGGTATGAGGGGCGCGTCGCAAAGGAACGGGGCAGAGTCATGGGGCGAGGGCTGGACGAGGCAGCGGTGGCCTGTCCTGGCCCCACCCGCAGCTGACCGTGGCACAGCCCTTGCCCAGCGCAGGGCCCCATTTGCCAGCTCAGACGCCGCCACCCTTCCTCCCCTCGACCAGAGTCTGCCGGCGTGCAGAAGCACAGGCCGTCGATCAAACCCGAATCCTCCGAGCTGGTAGGCTGGTAGATGGAATGACCGAGGTTGTCGTGTGTCAGACGTGATGTGCCACCACGCTGCACCTGCCGGTGGGTGCATCGTGCGCCACCCCCCGCTTGGCCACCGGAACACTCTCCTGGTCGCCGCCGTTCAACGTTCCGGCCAGGGTCCGTCCCGGCCATCCCACTCAGGTCCCCCCTCACCCTCCCTGCACATTGTCACAGGAGGGCTGCATCAACATCCACGTGCTGACCTCGCCCGTCGGGTCCCCACGCTGGGACGGCGACGGCGACGCCGCCGGCCACGCCCGCCGGCGCAGTCTTGCGGCGGCCCTGGAGGCGGCTTCCGGGGTGCGTGGCGTTCGAGGGGCGGTGAATGATTGGGGCAGGGGCAGAGGGGGGCATTCGGATGGCATTACATGGTAGGAGCCTGGGATTGGGCATGGGCCTGGCGGGGGAGGAGCAGAAGGGGGGCTGGCGTCGGTGCAGAGCCTAGCCACCTTGGTGCCTGCCGAGGCCGGGCGGGGGTGCACGCTCAGTGCCACATGGGAGCCAAGGTTGTACATCAGGCCTCAGGCTCGACGCTGTGCGGCGCTCTCGACGGCTGGCAACCCTCGCACTTCACCCGATTGCCCCTCCCCACTCCCGCAACCCCATCTCCCATGCGCGCTGGGCCCCAGCCCTGACCCCCCCCGGTCCCCACCCACCCAGGAGGCGCGGGGCTGGGCGCTGCCGGCGTGGATGCGCGGCGTGGGCTACCTGGCCTCGGGGACGGTGCCCGGGGGCGGGGCCAAGCGTCGGTCCAGCCCCACCAAGCAGCCGCTGGTGGGCGGCACCTCCCTCAGCTCGCAGAGCAGTGTGGGGCCGCGGGACGACCCCGAGCTGGGCGCCGGCGCCTGGGAGGGCGGCCGCGGGCGAGGCCTGGAGGCGGTCCTGGGCCACCCCGGCCTGCACCGGCGGGGGGGGGCGTCCAGCGCGGCCGGCAGCACCCCCACCTCGGAGGTGGGGGCGCCCTCCCTGGCCGCCGCCTGGGCCGTGGCGTCGGGGGGCGGCGGCGAGGGCGGCGTGGCGAGGGCGCCTGGAGATCGCGACGCCGGCGAGGCGCGGGGCGACGACGGCGAGGCGCGGGGCGACGACGGCGACGAGCATGGGTCGCGGGGCGGCGATGGCGAGGGGCGGCTGGTCCCGCTCCGCGACGGCCGGCGAGCCGATGAGCTGGAGGACAGGCAGCTCCCCCGCTCCCCGCTGGGGCCCGGCGCGGCGTCCGCCCCGGCCCCGCACGCCCACCGCCGCTCCTTCTCCTTCCACTGGCAGGCGCTGGCGGGCGGCAGCGCCGGCGGGCTGAC